TGAATTTCTAAAAAAATATCAATGATAAACATATCTTGTTCGCTCCACACTGCTCACAAGTGAAAAATGATCTGTCCAAATGCGTCAAAACAGAATTCAAAGCAGAAACAAGTGCGAAAATAACAATACAATTAACTCAAGCGTAATGTCGCTCTGCACATATCCACATATTAAACCTAATTAATTTGCTTATAAAGCAAAAAGATCACTTGAAGCGACATTGCTTGGCTCATATGAGAAACCCCCACCACAGTGAGCGACACAACATTTCGCACAGTTCATTAAATAGCCATTTGAGAAGAAAAGTAAAAAAAAAATTTGCGATGATCTCCATTCCGAATTGGAAAAACTGCACATGCAGCTGGGCAGAAAAACAGTGAGCTGTCAAATCCCGAAAAAGCTAAACAAATAAAACTGAACTCATAATTCATGCACGCTTCTTAGAGATACTTTCACACCCAAGCGTATTTACACAAAATTAATAATTTCAGTAATTGCCAAAAATTGTACGCTCTTTTGCAAAATTAAAAAATTCAGGTCATATGTAAAAACCAAATATACATATATATTTATTTGGCATTTATAACTGGAATTTTTGTATGTATGCTTGGAAGTTTGACTGCATTTTGTAAATATCTTTATGCGTTTAAATAAATGTTGATTTAACATGTCTGCAACAGCTTTTCGTAGAAACACAAACAAAACTTAAATCCAGTTTCAGATTAATAAGCCGCACCTTATTGCTGAAAGTAAAACACTTGGGGAATCACCAAATATGATTAATGAGTATTGTTCCTATTTAATAATAAAAACACCCAACATTCTTCCGGCAAAAAACCAAACTCTCAATGAAGTTTATCAGCACTTGTAACACCTTTTTGGCCACTAATGACTAATTATTGCTACCAACGAACAGTAATAAAAGTTAATTGGGTTCTGCAGTTCACAGAACTCGAATCACGATCAGTTCCAGTTGCACTATAGCTTTTTGCGCTGCCAACTTATACAACCTTTGCCACCGATGTCTATAATCGCACTGACTTCTCCTTCAATTTCAATTTCTGCGGTCGCATTCGCAGTCGCAGTCGCGTGCTCTGCCGCAGCGCTGCCCATATTATTATTATAAATTATTTTTATATCGAATTTATTTGCCGGCACATGGGAGCATGTTCCTCACATGGAGTGGAGAATGAGTGTCACGAGTATCAGTTTAGATCAACCGGCAAAAAACAACATCTCAACTGTAGTCTGCAGGTGAGATTCTCTCCAAAAAAGTCAGCACTCTCTGCGATTACGCTACGTATACGTAACGTAACGCAACTTATTGCACGGATTGGAGGCTGCGCCGGCAAATGTGTTATCAACTACAACCATAAATCAAATCCAGACAAAAGACACTACACTGTTCTTATTAAAAAAAAACACTGATACAAAAATGTAATATTTCAAATAAATTTCTGGAAATCAAAATTAAGTATTGCATATTCCATTATACACTTGGACAAAATACTTTTTTTTCAGTGTGCAGTAAGTCAAGTAAAAATAACAAATAAATCCTTAAGTTAAGATAAAGCATTTATGTGCTAAAAATTTAATCTTAACCAAAAAGCCAAAATAAGGTCAAGTAAAAACAAATAAACCCAAAAGTCACATATGAAAATGTCTTTATTTACAGTTCAATTTTAAATTTTGTACAAGTACTAAACAAATAAATCATAAGATCGAAGAACAAACATTTTCAGTTGTGAGTCAATTTAAATATAATGCCAACTCAAATCGGGGTTTATTTTGGTTATCTCCAGTTCAACTGCTGGCAAACTCAAATAAAAAAAAGTAAAGCATGCGGGAAAAAAACCTAATTATAAATGCACACTTGCACTAGAGGAAAACTAAGATATGTGATCCAAATATAGTTGCAGAATGCAAGCTATAATTCCCTGCCAACATAAGGCATAGTTAATGTATAAAAACCAATGATAGATTTAAATGGTTTATTTATTACAAAAAAATATATTTTAAAAACAGAGAAAATCAATGATATGAGTATGTTTTAGTTTTTTTGTTTGTTATTAATTATTTTTAAATAAAAAAATAAAAATTTGTGTGAACAAACCCACAATTAAAAAAAATATTATTAGCATTCAATGATTGTATCAAGTGGCAAAAAGTTATAAACTTATTAATGAAAAACTTAATTTTAAATGTATAGCAGCGTACCATTAATGTTTTTCTTAGAAGCATTAAAAAGACGTCAATAACAATTGAATCGCGCCTGCGATAAGAGTAATCTCAGACGCTGAGTATCATTTCTGATTCGTACGCCTTGAAATGCAGTCAAATTTCGCGTGGATTTTTGTGTGCTCATTGCTGTTTTGTCAACAGGGCTTTTCCCAGTTTCTGGAGGAGCCCTGCGGCACAACTTCGCTGGGAACGAAAATTTTCGGTGGCAATAACGCAAGAGAACAAGCTGCTATTTATATGGCAGTAATCAAAAACTCCAGCCATTTTCTTTGTGGCGGCACCGTGATTCACAGAAGTATGTTCTACAATAATACAATACAACATAAAAACCGTGTTTAATAAGATACATATTTTATAAGGTTTTATTTTAACCGCTGCTCATTGCATGGAGGATCCTAACGACCTGTAAGTACCATCAAAACTTGTGTATATTGGTCTGTCGATTATTAGAAATTCTACTTAAATTGTAGGTTTTGTCACTTTTTTAAAAATAGCAACATATACAAGCGAAAAATTTATTAGAAAATTGACATAGCTTCATTGTTTTTTAACAAATATATCAGAAGACAAAGAAGTTGATTTCCTATCTTGTTTCGACATAATTAGTGCTAATATTTATATTTATTATAGATTTGTATCGTTGGGAGCATACAATAAAAGTGCTCCGACAGCTGAGTTTCAGGTCGTCCAAAGAATAAAGCACCCCGAGTTCAACCCCTACGCTATCACCAATGATATAGGACTTCTGAAGCTGTCGCCCAAAATCGTGTACCAATGTAAGAGAAAAGTTTGGAGTCTTTAAAACATTTTGTAATGCATTTCTCCGTAGTTAACATTCGACCAGTGTGCATTTTGAAGGACAAGAGCATTAAGCAGCAGGTGGAGAACGTGCTGAATTTTGAAGTTTTTGGTTGGGGAAAAACCGAATCTGGCACGGATAGCGAAATACTGAAATCCCTAACACTCAGACGAAGAAGTCGATCAGAGTGCGAAAAGATGGCTGGGTCTCAAAGTTTGAAGCAGATCTGTGCTCAGGGAAGCGGTGGAGATGCCTGTGTTGGCGATTCCGGTGGGCCTCTCATCGTAAGGCTAAGCAATGGCCTCGAAACTCAGCTCGGAATCGTGAGCTACGGCAGAACTGCATGCGATGGTCTAGGAGTATATACCGATGTAACTAGTTATATCGACTGGATTGTGGATACTGTAAGAAGGAATGCGGATCCTGTGGACGCCGAGCAGTCCGCTTTTGGAGTTCAAAACCGCAAACCACCACCCCCAGAACGCGTATTTCCAGTGCCACAGTTTTGGTTGCATGAAAACTGCGGCGGTAATACCTTGCTATCAAACTTACGGGCCACCATCTATGGACTTCCTTCCAGTACCGAGGGCGTCTTGATCACAGAACGTAAGTTTAGACAGACACACTCAAAATAATATTTATATGAGTTGGTGGTCAACTTGATATTTATTTAATAATAAAAACTAACACCTATGTGATGAGTATGCAGTTGATATTAAACTTTATTCAAATTTAATTATTTATTTAATATTTTTACAAAAAACATTAACACATGAATAATTTTTTGTTAGTTATTTTTATAATAATAATGCATAAAAATATTAAACTATAGAGGATGTTTTTGGTATATACCATTAATTTTTAGGCTTATTACAATAGAAATTTTTTAATTGAAAAAAATTCTTTTCTATTTTTAGGGTTCGTATTGGCAAATGCGCAAGGCATGTCAGACAATGCAGCCTTATTGTAAGTAATCTCTATTAAGGTCACAAAAAAAAGCTAAACTTAATAAACTTTCCCAGAAGTGTGGATGTGATCGGCGGTTCGGGTTCTTTGGGAGAGTACACAGTTCACTCGGTTATCAAGCACCCGGTGTATGCGAACTCCCCCAGTAATGACATAGTATTGCTGAAGCTGCTACAACCGGTAATGCAAACAGGTAGGTTATTTTTGACACAGATCTCTTCTATCAAAAACTAAATTCCCTTTTTTGCAGTTGGATCGAAACCGTACTGTATGTTCGGGCAAAACTACATCAAGCAGAATGCCTTCCCTGATCCACCTTTTACCATTTTGGGCAAAAGGCAAACTCAAAATGGCGTAAGATATTATAGCTTCGATGTTGAAAAAATTGATTCCCAAGCATGTGCCAACAAAATCTGGAACACAATTCATCCAAGTCAACTTTGTGTGCAGGATATCACCGGAAGGTCAAACGGCTATGGGAAATCTGGTGACATATTGGTAAAAAAAACCAATTATTCGGGCAGGGAACATTTTGTTTTGTTAGGTATTATCAGTTATTCAAGGTATAACGTGCACGTTCTTATAAAAATTACGGCTCGTACCAAATGGATCTCACATGTAATTACCCACAATTAACAGCAAACACAAGACATCTAGACATTTTAACATCTGAAAATTTAATTTAAACAAATAGCATGTATGTTTTATTATATTAAATTTAGTTTAAATAAGCAATTTTGGAATTAATAGCCAGACATTTGATTTTCCATTTCCATTTTGTTGTCATTTATAGCCAAAAATTATGGTTAAAAACGATTTAAAACAGAAAATAATATTAATAATAATATTCTGCAGAATAATATTCTTAGAATATTCTTAAATTTTAAGACTGATTTCTGGAGAATCACAAAACATTAGTCAATGTGACCACTACATAGACGTCGAAACATGAAATCCAAATAGTTTCTCTTTTAAATAAATAAAAACACTGAAATTACTCACTCTTTACAACATTTATTTGCTATTTTATAGTGTAAAAGTGTAAAAGTTTGGGACAAACTGAAGAGCAACCAGGCTTAATGGAGGCGAAAAATAGATGAACTAATAACATGAAAGGATAAGGCAATCTAAATATTTATATAAATGTAATAAGGTTACCCTTTTCGACATCAAATCTAAAAGAATCTGGTTAGCAGGGAGGTGAGCAGCAGCAGTGTTACGGAAGCCACAATTCCGGACGCCGATCCGGTGTCGGTTTTCTCGTGGATCACAATCCGCTCCTCGATCTCCGGATAGACAAAGTGCCGCTGCTTCAGGTACTCCATGGTGGCACTCAGGTCGTTCCGACTCAGTTTCTCACTGTAGGGATCCGTTTCCTCGACCAGGTCGTATCCATCGCCACCTTCTAGGATGAACTGCGGCACGATCACCTGGTAAAGGGCCGCCTCATCGATGGCCTTGTATGTGGGAACGGAGCAATTGGAGCACAGGGCTTGGGCAGAAACCACCCGTTTTCCTTGCTCATTATTGTAGTTGTACTCCACACGCAGTCCGGACATCTGAAGGAATCCACCGTTCGAGTCCTGCAACCGCACTGCAGCCGAATGCTCCAGGGCAGCCAGAAGGGTCTTTCCCGTGACCCTCGTTACGTAGAGGTTGTTCTCGAAGGGCAGAACGGCCAAGAGGGTGGCTCCATTTATGACTCCATCGGACTCTTTATCGACAGAGGCTCGGATTCCTCCTCCCTGCATAAAGGCAATAGGTGCATCCGTCCAGAACTCGCCACCCTTGTCCTCCAGCACGCGAATATAGACCATGGCGTCGGTCACCAGGTTTCCCAGGTTGCACTCCCTCATGCGGCAGATGTTGCCGCCCTCGAGGAACACCTTGGTGTAGCCCAGGATCATGTTCTCCAGCTCCTCCAGTCTGGGGCGATACTCTTCAAGCAGGTCCAGGAGATCCTGCTCTTGCGCCACCGAAGCATTCAGCAAGATGGGAGCTCCATCAAACTCAATCAGATTGCCAGCGGCATCGAACTGGAAATATATAAATTACAAAGATTAAAGAGGTCTTTACTGAATGTCTTTGATTTATCCTTATAACTTCTCAAATATTGACATCATTTGGAAAATGTTTGATGTACCGATAGATATTTGTGGACGTTAGTGTGGGCGTCACCAAATTCTAACTAATTTTATAGGATCAAACACTCTTCCTTCTATCATGTAAACCCTATAGTTCTTCTAATTCGGGTAGTTATTGATTTGTTCCAATCTAGTGGTTACCTGAACATGGATTTTTCCCAGATACTTTGTGTAGGCATATGCCTGCACCACTGGCACCTTTTTGCCACTGGCCTGCACCACTGTGGTGGGATAGGGACCTCGGACCGCCTCTGGATCCCAATCGGTGGGGTCGGCCACCGGTTGACTGGCGTCCAGGAAAGTGTGAGAGTGGCCACCAATGACGATGTCCACCTCCGGACAGTTCTTTGCTATCTCCTGATCCTTTTGGTAGCCAGAATGACCCAGAGCGATGATGATATTGATACCCTGAGCCTTGAGCCTCTCAGCTTCTGCGCTGAATAATATAAAAAATGGATTCAGAGTTCGTACGAAAAACTAGTATATACTTACTTAATGGAAACAATCTCCTCCTCGTATTCCACTTTGTTCCGGAAGGCTAGAACCTTGGTGTCGGGCGTGAGGTAACCGATTACACCAATCTTCACTCCATTTGTTTCCAGAATTGTGGAGTTGGCCAGCTGTTTGGCAGCCGCCATTTCGGGTACCTCAGTGAGGTTCAGATTGCAGGCCAGAACGGGAAATTGCACGGCATTCAGGAAGGGCACCAAGCCCTCGACATTCTGATCGAACTCGTGGTTGCCCAGGGACTAAAATAAATGGTGTAGTATATGTAGTATATATAGTACATGTGGTATACATAGTATGTATAATTTATGTAGTATATATAGTACGTAAAAATAGTATAGTTAATAAGAATATAGATCCTTACAATCGCGTCGGGGGATAGCTTGTTAAGGAAAGCACTGGCGATCTTGTCCTTGTAGACGGTGAACCAAGCTGTTCCAGTGTAGGTGTCACCTGCGTTGAGGTAAAACACTGGAGTTCCACCCTCCTGCGCCTCTTTGCGGTATTTGCGAACTCTAATTTAAACAAAGAGATCAATTAGACTAAGAGTTTTTCCAGTTTAGAGAACCAACTCACTCATAGGCCACCCTGGCGAATCCTCCGTAGCACTGATTTGTATTGGCGTCCTCCTTGGAGCAGGTGCCACTAGTCACACTCGTTTGCTCGAATCGGGCATGCATATCATTATTGTGAAGGATTATGAACTCCGTGGCCACGTCCGCCAAAGGAACAATAGGATTCGGCTGGACTGAAGGGATCAATAGGGCCAAAAGGCAACATAATCCGATAATGAGACTCCTGGCAAACATCATTTTGGGGCTGGAAAAAAAATAATATCACTAAGAAGCTATTACAGGCAAAGGGATGAGATTGCGGTGCTTCATTAATGGCAAACCAATATTAAAATCAAGTTTGTGTATGACTTTTATGACTAAACCCGAATTGTAAATATTTATTTTTATTAAACATGGTAAAAATAGTAAAGTTAAAGCAAATAAATTTAGTTCCTCTAATATTGGAAAGTATTTAACAATGGCTTTAAATTATTATATCAGCTGTAAACTTATATTTCAATCAGTACATTGCTTATACACTTTCCACACAAAGAACTAATCATCAACTAATTTTGATTGTAAAAAAACACCGTAGATAGATTATCTTTTGTATTTAGGCTCATAAAAAGACGTTAAAAACGGTATAAATCAGTTTTTCAGCTGTTGCTGTTGAAGGTCCTTCCTGACCCTTATCATCCACTACCGAGAGTCACATATTTATCAATCACGAGCTGGCAGAAATCGCAATTCCAGTCATTTGCTAGTTTATTGGGTGCTTTAAATCTAATCGCCGCTTATCATTCTGCGTGTGCAAAAACACACAAATCCACAGCCCATTCAACTCAAGTCTAATATTTGTTCCCCCGACTTCTGGCATCGCAGACCACTTCACTTCACTCAGTTAACTGGTTTCCAAAATTGAACTCGGAAACGAGCTCGGAGTTGCTAATGTTGAGTTGGCATTGGCCCGAAAGCTTTCTCGTCTTAAAAGCGCTGACTGCGAAACAAAAAACTCTTCTACTTTGGAAAAGACAAACCCAAACAACGAATTACCGATCGATCGCTACTTACATGCACTCGTCGCACGGTCCGCGGGTAAACTGAAACTGAAACTGACCAGCCAAATTGAGAAATTGGCTGAGAGTCCGAGAACCGTTATAGCCGAAATGGAATACCGAATTCCGAATACCTAACACAATAAACCGAAATTAACTGACTCGCGGAGCGGACTGATTACTATTACGATTACGATAAGGCCTCGTATTTTGCGGCTCAGAGCGGGTTAATTTAGCCAAGAACGTCACTGTGATGTGATGCTCTTTTTGCAATCTCAATTATACTATATATTTGCCTGTTTGGCAGCCATCAATGGCAGACTTATCGCGCGATAATCGTCGGTTATAGATCAGATAATAGTGTTTTGGGCACATATCTACCTGACTCATCGTCACCCAGACAGGGGCAGGTACTTAGCCAAACAGTTGCCCAAGCACAACACCACATTCCCACGCCGAAAAATTAATTGTACTTAAATAATACGGATACAGAGCACACTCGGTAAGATGAACTTAAGAAGACCAAAATAAGACCAGACTAAAATAAGATTTGCATGCTTTATAGCGACCAATGAGTTACTAATTAAAGGGAAAATAAGGTTTAACAATTTAAACAAGAGCAAACTCGGTAAGATTGAATTAGGAAGACTTAGAAGATTCGGAAGATTTAATGTATAGTATTCTTTAGAAATGCATACTTTATGGCGACCAACGAGATTTGCATGTGTTCAAAAGTTACTTAAAGGGAGCGAAGGTTAAAAATATCTTTTATTTTTAGTTAAAATGAATGATTAATATTTTCAGGAAATTAAGTTGTTCAAAAAATACCTGGTAAAATATTAAAATAGGTGCCCGAACCATAAAATCACCGTATAATTAATTTACGAAAAACATAGCATACTTTCTGGCGACCAACGAGTTTTCAATAAAATCCAAAGAATGAATAAAATTCACAAACAACTATATTGGAATAAAGTTTATAGTCATCTCCTTACTCCTTGTGTATAATTGTATATTATTTTATTAAAAAATCGAATTCACAATATGACGTAAATTTTATTTTAGAATGAATGACCTTAATTGTATGTCTTTTTTTTTTAGTTCTCTGATTGTTATCTCTTTTAAAATAGTTCACTTTTCCGAAATCATGTTCACTACTTGGAGAGTGCACTGTACAAGTTTATTGCCGCAGCTACAGTTGCTGCCTGTGTCGAGTAACCCGATCTTTGTTATTACTTTTTTCGAGAACTCCGAACAAGTGTCTTCTGGGAACTTGAGGCAAAATCCATTGATAACAATGAGGCCTGCTTGTTCCACTGGTTTTTGCTTTATGGCCGCCGAAAAATAAGGAAAGGAATATAGATACCCGATTCCAGTAATTACTTTTTCAGTTGCATGCGAATTTTTAGACAAATGAAAACATCACAATTGTAATACAATTGAAACAGTCGCCACACACCCCAAATTATCTGCTGCCACTTGTCGCGTGCTTTTCAAACTGTTCAATCATATACGAGTATTATGAAATGGGCTTTTTACAAACACACAACAGCTGCGACTGCGGATGATTATTTACTGTCTGTGGTCGCGCAAATACTTCAAACGAAAGGTACAACTTTCCTGCTCGCGTTGTCGCCTAAATATATCACAAAGACACAAGATACAACAGCAATTGAGTTGGTTCGAAAATAAATAGTGGATGCTCGGTAAAGTTGCGCTGAACTGAGGGGCAAAACAGAACAACACGCAATATTACACAATGTCAAGTGTGCGATAATAACCAGATAAAAATAATATATATGATTCAATTATGATATGCCCTTTACCTACCTACATTGGTTATCAAGTAAATAAGGTACACACTATTTGTCAATGCAAATATGCAATCAGACATATCCAAAGTTCACAGGCACCAGATGCGTGATTATTTAAATGCCTTCCAAAATTCATTAACAGCAATACGCTAAGATAGTGTCAAATTCGGAGCCCCAAATCAATCTAATAATGCCCAATTTCCTTGATCATAAATAAAAATTGATTGTTATCAATAAGTCTGTCGGTTGAGGCAAGGAACTGTCCATTTGTTACGACATTCTAGATTTTATGCTTAAAAAAATAAATGAATCGGGTTCACTAGAGTATATAGCATTTCCAAATTTTTGGCAGGTCTTAAATTCACATTATCGATTGGCATATCTTGTACTCACGTTTTCTCAGTTTACAACCTATAATTACGCCGACAAGCTGTTTGTTCTCCATGCCAACAGTAGTAGACTTGATTTCCTTCTTTCTCTGTTACCATTCAGCACCATTCAAATTTCCATGACAACAAATTTGAATTGGAAATTGTGTAATTTTTCTCGCAGTGCCTATAGGTGAGCACTTATCATTGCAAGGGCAGGTCAAACTAACTCGCAGGGGAAGCGCCGATCGAAGAGATGAATGTGAAGCGTGCCAGCTGCAAATGTTTATCGGGATGGGCATTAAAGACTGCCAAATCCCCTGCACGCACTCTAAACAAGGTGTCTAATGGTTGCTTTATTTATACATTTATGTGTCATTTTTTTTATTACCTCAACTGAGAGAAGTTCTAAGAACGATTCAAAAAAAATAAACAAAATACTTTAATACATGTCATAAAATAAAAATATAAAAAACTACTATACAAAAGCTGTCACTTAGTTATTAAATGTGTTATTGGCACTCAATTTACCAAGAAAAGCAATTTAAGCAATTATAGCGGTCATTGATCTCTGAAACCAGATCGATTATCACATTTTTTGCATTGAAAACAAGATATGTTTATTTAGTTCCAAAGTTGGTAGCAATGTTGTATTTGTTGTGTTAGCTATCATAAATAAAATTAAAGTAAAGAAGAATTAATAGGAACCTTAATTTTAGAATATGTTTTTCAAACTCTCTATCGTTTGTTCCGCTTATATTGTTTCAACAAAACAGTATATATAATCAAACTTATCTCCTAAGTTTATGACTCTGTTAAATTCTTTAATTCAAAAATTGTTGATTTATAAAACTAGGCCATAAACAGGGCACCTTTAGAATTACTATCCTACGTTCTAAGCTTATGACCTTTTTCTAAATTATTAAATTGGAAAACTTTAGAATTATAAAAAATTGTTTTCAAAATTCAGAAATTGTTGGTGAAAAAAGGGCATGAACAGGGCACCTATCAATCGGATATGCAGCGCCTTGTGGAAACAGCCACGGGACAACAACAACTTGAAGGGCGGAAAGGAAGAAAGCAGGGGCGCAATCGGTGATCCAAGGGGCGAGGGGTGCGGGGTGCGGGGTGCGGCACAGAGGAAGGGAGGATATTCAGAGCGCGGCTGCTGCAGCCTGAGAGCAAGCCAGCTGAGGGTTGCAATATCCTGCTGCTGTTGTTGCTGCCTTTTTAGCCTGTAGCCTGTAGCCTGTATCCTGTTGCCCTCCCGCTTCAGCTGCCGCAACTCAAACAGCTGCAACAATTTTTTGTTGTTTTTAATTTCCTTGGCGCGGCACATCCCCTAATGCCAATGCCACTATCTCTGGTTCCTGCCGCACTTTTGGGGTTGGAGTTGCCAGTTGGTCGCCGGGGTGCAGTTGCTCGCAGCTCAGTCGTGGCGATCGCCAGGTGAACGAAGGTTGTGTGGCGCAGAGTTTTAAATTTTTGAAGCCAGAAGATTGCAATTGGATTATATACTATACCCAACCATGTCGGGCAAACTGATCATGAAGCGCAAGCGAGCCAGTCAGGAGGAGCAACAGCAGCAACATCAGCAGCAGCAGGCGCAGGAGCAACATATCCCGGAGCAGCAGCAACATCAACCGGAAGAACCAGCTCCAGAGAAGCGCCATCGTCCTCTGACTCCACCCGCCGAAGAAGAGCCAGCTCAGGACTATCCATCCCCAGCAGAATCTCCCAATCGAATCCTTTTAGAAGCCCTGCAAAAGATCATGGAGCTGCAGGCAGAATTAGATGCCTTTGAGCACGATCTAGATGAACGGGATGGATATGCTGGAGGAGCAGCAGGAGCCCAAGATGAGGATGCCGTAGAGAGTGCAGAGGAGGATGCCGAGGTGGCTGCCCAGTTTGCACCACCCACCCCAGGCCAAAGGAGTCAGGCGGAGGCACTGGGCTTCGCCATGTGCGCCCGGGAAACGCTGCTCTTCCTCCAGAGCGAAGGAATACCCACGGAGTCGCCACTCTACCAGACCCTTCTCGGCAAACTAGTGGGCCAGAGCGATGGACTGCTGCATGCTTAGGCGCCGAACTGGAGGGCAGGAGCTCCTCCGCATTCTAGTCACTTTGCTGCGATCTCATTGCAAGTAAAACGAGCGAGAGAGAGAGAGAGAGAATCCGAGGGTTTGGCACTTTTTGCTTGGGGTGGAAATGGTGCTATCCGGGAATCTGCGTAATCCTAAGCTGTTTACTCTAGTCAATTATTGTGAAGCAATATAAAAATCATAAGGAACAACGAAACAAATAAACTAACAAATAGAATAAAAAGAAATGTGTGTTTATTTATTGTGGGCTTACAACTTCCATTTTCAATTTCCCTATTAAATTTCTTCTTACCATCTGGCAATAATAAAAAATATATTATATAGAAAGAAATATGTATTTATTGTGGAATATCAATTTCAATTTTAAAATTCTTTCTTAAAATTGTAATTTCCATTTAGCAAAAAATGAATATTGTCAATTATTGTGAAGTCGTATAAAAATCATGGGAAACAACAAAACAAATAAATTAACAATGAACTAAAATGAAAATAAATGTGTTTATTTATTGTGGGCCTGGAATTTTAAATCACCCTCTATAAACAAATTAATATTTTTTCCAGGTAGCAATGAAAACAAGCATTTATTCTTTGGTTTTCAATAAATTTTAACCATTAATAACTATAGTGAAGCAATATAAAAATTATAATAAACAACAAAACAAATAAACAAATTTAATAAAAGGAAAAGCATGTTTATTTATTGTGGATTTTGAATTTTAGAACTCTTAATCTATAAATTCCCATTCCCATTATTGTCAATTATTCTGAAGAAATATAAAAATCATAAAAAAAAATAATTTATATAGCAAATAATTAAAAATATAATAAAAACAAAACATATTTATTCTGTGGGTGTTTCAAATTTTAGAACCCTCTTAAAATTTCCAACAATGAAAACACTTTCCCTTTTCGATTTTCGATACATTTTAAATATATTTATTTATTCATTTATTTATTACTTGTGTTATTTGATTTTACATATAATAATTAATGAGAATAACTCAATCGCAATATATTATTTCTTTTAATTCATTTTTGTAGGTATATATAATATAAGTGTATATATTCTTATTGTTGTTAGGGCGGGGGGTTTTTTTGTTGTTCGGTTATTTCATTAACTTGTTTTATCATAAATTATCTGGGGCTTGGAACCGCCCTAAAGTAGCATTTGTTATAATTCATATTAGTTATCTGTATAATTTGTAACAACAATAATTATTTGTAATAAATGGTTGTAATTCCTTTGTATTATCTGTATTTACTGATATTCCTTTAAAACTAGATTTTAATTGTTTTCAACAATTTAACGTTTCACATGGTTGTAAGTAAATGTTTCTTAAGGTTTTTGGACAAGATATCGTTTTTACGAGTAGATGTTATTATTTTCATTGCGTTAGTAAAGTCAAATTGATTCGCTTGGAATATCAAATAAGAATACGTATACAAAAATGATAATATCTATAAATTGGCATTTCAATTGGTAATTTCAGACCTTGGAAGGGATCACCTTCCTACAAACATTTGGCACACTTTCTTGGTTCTACTTAAGCTCTACGCAGAATTCTTTAATTCTTTAATTTAGAAACTAATTCAGGGTAATTAAACAGAAAACAAAATCTTGAGCTGTCGATTACAGTTATATTTAGTGTTACTTTTGTTAGTTCAGTATATGATTAATGCAGACAGCAGGACAAAGCAGCCGACTCATTGTTGAACAATTGGGGAACCGAAAAGAGAGTAAGGTAAACGAATCCCGCGTTGAATGCTTTGTCCGGCGTCATGGGTTAAATGGGTTAAGTACATTGAATTACATTGTTATTACATTATTAAATTTAGTTTGTGTTACGTTGTCGCTTTAGTTTTGTATTTGTGTATAAGTAAATCGAGTATTTGTTATTCTTACTTTCGCATTTTAGTATTCTCTTTACTCTGTTATTGTTTTCGTATCTGGTGTTTTAATAAAGTAATCATTTGCAGCACTATCCATTTACGGACATTGATTCACAATAAACTTGTATATATATTTTTGTATTTTTTTTAATAATTTGTAGATCTTTAGTATTCGATATATTTTTATTCTGAATGCTCGAGTATTAGATAGTTTTCATTATGGTATTTTAAAGTTTATCTGTTACTTTTCGTGTCAACATGCGGTTAGTCGATCTCTGTTAATTATGTAAATATTAGAATTTGTAAGTGTATATATATATATATATATATATATATATGTATATATATATTCTTTATCTGTATCGTTAGTTTTTGTTAAATATATGCATATATAAATAAAATTATAGTTTAAATGTGCCCTCTGTATTAATTATTATATATTCTATTAAGTTAATTAATCTCATAGATTTTGTCTCGACCGACTGCTGTCCCTATACATAGCTTTGTCTTGCTGTATCAGTTGGATTCGCTCTGTAACCAATATGCCAGACTATCCCAGCTCAACTTTGAGCTGAGCCGTGTGTGCTTAACTACTGATTCCGATTCGGAATCCGTATCCGAATCCGATTTCGATTCCTCTCGACCGATTTCAGCTCCCACTAATCGTTCAGGCTCTTTGAATATCTTAAAGATGGTTTGTAAATAGAGATAAAAAACCGGACACAGTTTCGTGTGTGTGTTTAATAGCCAACGTGAAAGTAAGGACTCGATTTGTTGATCCAGCCTCGTGTCTTCATTAAACGTCAATCCTTGCACGCAAAAATATATGTATAAATATATCTGTCATGTATATGTTTTTCTTGTATGTAGTATATATCGTAAAGTTCATTTGTCCATTTTGTAAATACTTCTCCTACGCCTTCTTCCTCTAATCTTATGAACTCTAGTGTACAAAGTTTCTGTGATGTAGATGTTGATGTGGTTTTCGATTTGGTTGTTCTGGTTGTAGCTGTTGTATCTGTTGGATTCAGAAAAACTGCACGGGCAAGAACGGAAATGTGCCAATATGTAGCGAAGGATTAGCAGGTCTGTAAGAGAATGTTAATTTGGATTTAGAGAGAGATGTTCTTGTCGTTGGTTTGCAGTGTTATGGGTTTATCTGGATCAATGCAAATCAATACAAAAGCTTTGGATGATAAGCGGAGAGGTATATACTATATACTAATGATTAAAAAGCAAGCAAGCGACATCACAAAAAGACCGAGTATTCATTTGCATTGACCAAAGAGACATCGATTAGGTGTGGGTTGTGTGCAAGGACGAAGGAGTTCTCATTTCACATTCATTAATATCGCAATTCAATACCTTACTAATAGCATATTGGGCACTGAAGCGGTTGTTGTGGTGGTGTTGTTGTTGTTGTGGTTTTTACTGCCTAGTGTGTGATTGTTGATGTTGTTGCTGTTGCTGTTGGCACTCTTTTGGCCATCCATTGGACCAAGTCGATAGGAGGATAGAAATGAAACGTCGTTGGAGTTTTTGTCACCCATTGGGTGAAAGTTGCTATTGCAATTATTGTTGTTGCTGGTGTTATTGTTGCTGCGGCTGTTATTGCTGTTATGGGCTGATAGCTGCGGTGGGAGATTTGGTTGCGACTGCTGTAGTTGTTGCTGATTTAGCTGAATAGATAGTCAGATAGTAGGCATTATGTTTATGGATCGGCCTGCTTATCTCAGCCACCTACACTCACCTTGGAACTGCCGTTGGAATTATAGTAGTAGTTGGGATTTGGATTTATGTTCTTGCCATTGTGGCACTCACTTGCTCCGTGATTGGGCAAAAAGTTGTTGCTGTTGCTGTTACTATTGGGTTGGGATTTCATGGTCAGATTTTGGGTGGCTGCCGCTGGATTGGTGGCTCGACCTCCGCTGGCACTGCTGGAATCCAACAAATTTCACCTGTTAACATGGCTGCGATTGTGATTCGAACTGAGACCGGAACCACCGATGGCATTCGACTGCGAACCGCCGCCGGTGCCCAGACCTCCTCCACCGCCACCGACACCAGCTGCAGAGATACACATAATCATTACACATAATACAAATATAATTTTAAATATTTCCTTAACGCACCTGAATATCCCGGTGAATGCTGGTAGTACTCTCGTCTTCCATAATCCGGCTCATAGTCGGAACTCTCGTAATGTCCTCCACGCCCACCGCCACCGCTTATGCCACCCACTCCGCCCAGAATGTTAGCCGGCGGTCCGTGGGGTCCATGGCCATGACTGCTGTAGGAGTAACTATCGTATGACTGGTGCGGATCATAGCCAATGCCGTCATCATAGCCGCGACTAAAAAACATCATTATTTATTAACAGATAAGTCCTTGCATTCCTTTTTAAAACATACCCGTACGTTTCATCCATGGCAGTCCGGGCTTTTTCCAAGATGGACATAACTTTCTGCTTGGGAGCAAGCACATTTTTGCTAAACGAAGACTGCTGTGAGCCCCTGAAATGGGAATATAAAATATATTAAATAAAATAGTCAGACTAGAATAACAAAAATAAACACATTTTTCGTGGTCTGATTTTTGTAAAATTAAATCCTTAGTTCTCAAAAAGCTTAACATATCTCAGAGTATATTCGTACTAATTTAAATACAAAGAAGTTTTAAGAAGACTAGATTACTTAGAAACAGACAAACAGATAGACAACTTGGCTAGATCGACTCTAGTGTGCTGATCATGATTATATATACTTTATAGGGTCAGAAATAACTCCGTTACAAATTTTTGCCTAAAATTGTAACTCCCACTGCAGGGGTAAAACAAATTACTCACCTATAACTATGATGAGGTGCGTTCTTAGCCCCTCCAATGGTGTTAACAGACCCGCCACCAATGGCATTGTTTCCTCCCTGCATGTGGGACGTCTTTTTATAGTTAATCTTCGCATTCTCGTTGTCGTTTAGGCTAGTGCTGTCCATCAACTCGCGTAGCTGCTCCTGCCGAATGATGTCGTTGCTGTCTGGGATCAGATACTTCCTCAGCTCGGCCATGGCGTAGGCGATGCGGGCATAGGCTTCGGCTGGCGGCGCTATTGTGGATATTTCCACGTGCAGGTCGCTGTTGAGGTGAGCATACTTAGGGTCCTTGGAGCTGCGCAGCTCCTCCTCCTTGACGCGATCGCGCATGGAGTTGCGTCCCAGGACGGTCATCTTGCAAAGCGTCTCCTCCTGCAGCCGGCGAAGTGAGTTTCCCTTGGGTCCCAGCAGTTTACCCACGAAGTTGAACTGGAATAACAGGGCATTTTAAATTGGTAAAATAATTAAAATAAATAAATCTGTCTGTAAATTCACCTTAGGGTGTTCTCTAATGGGAACTAAAACACGCTGCGAGATGCGTAGAGGCTTCTCTCTATATATATCCGCGTATTTTTGCTCTCGCGAAGGAATCCTTCCTGTGGTTTGGACTTTTTCAATCTCTGAAATAATAAGTGTTTATTAGATGAAGGAAAGCTATTGAATTTTTTTTGTCATCACTTACCGCCCTCCAGCAGTTTCTCGGCAATGGGGAACTTTCTGTCCATACGATTTCGCTCCACCATACAGTCGCGTATGTACTCATTGGCCTTCTCATTTATCTGGATACTGCCGCCGGGATCTCCGCCATGGTGAACGTGATCGTGGGCAGAACTGTCACCGTTGTGGGCGCCACCGGGTGCTCCGATAGAACCACCTGACTTACGTGGCTTGCCGCCAAACTCGTCATCGTCGTTAAAGGCGGAAAAGTCACCGTTGCCGTCGTACTTCTCGGTCATGGTTTTGTTGCCCGTGTCCCCGGAGCTGCGGTCTGAAAACTAAACAATAATTGGAATTAATGGCATTCTCGAAATATTTCTAGTAATTCAGGAGAAAATATGTTGGGCCAAGAACCTAAGTTTCTAAGTTCGGTAAAAGTTTAACTTTTTGGAGCTTTAAAAATGCTTTGCAATTAAAAACCCATAAATTTTTCAATGAAATAAATTCAATAAAATTTACAGAAAACTTTTTGTTTAATTTTAAAATAACCAATGGAAATCCAACTTTTTTATCAAACAAATAAATAGATCAATGTTGACTATTATTTATTATATTTAAAAAAAAATGTTTTTTTTATTTCGAGATTTGGTTTGAAACCCTTTTCGATGGCATATAAACAGTTTAAAAGTCAGTTTAGTACATATTGGAATTACATTCCATTAGCATACCCAACAGATTCTATATATAGTATAGCATATAGTATAGTCTGTAAGGTCATTGAAAGCTAGGGCGGTATTATTTCAACCCATTTTTTTCTGGACCCTTTAAATTCCCCCTATTTTCAATACAAGTAATGTGCTATAGGACATAATTTGTAATATTTAAATGCAATAATTTATCCAAATCAATTAGACGGCGGGCAACGCTTTCACCAATACACTCTCGCATCGCACACATGCACACATACAGTCAAAGTCGTTGGGCAAAAACAACCACCGTGTAAATTGAGCGAAAATCAAATTGTTGCCGTAGCTCACACACGAAAGCTTTAGGGTAAACAGAACCGGTAAAAACGATGTTTTCCATTCTGATTTTGGAATATTAATATTAACGGTTTTCAGGGGCATTTTCCACTGTGAGTTTGGACTGTCCAACTGTTGCCCCCGCCCGCGTCCCTCGTTCCGTGGTGCACTTTCACTTTTCAGTGGGACGCAGTTTTTCACCTATTTTTTTTTCTGTATTTGCAAATTGCATCGAGCGTTTTCTGTTGCTTCTCTTTCTTGGTTGCAAGTCGATTTTCCCCGCGTTTATCACCCCATAAATCAACAGCTAAGTTTGCAGTAAAAAGCCCGTAATTACCACTATTAATTGGCCCTTTCGATTATTGCTTTTAATTTAAAAGGTTGCGAAAAAATGCAATTGAATTGGCGAAAAAAAACAATACTACGAGTGTGACCGTGCGAAGAAAGCTCAGAAAAGCTGATTGCGCAAAAATACCAATCCGTTTGGCGGTTAGCACAGTGGTTTTTGTATAAAAAGAACTCCTGCAGATTGGGAAATTTATTAATTCATATTTTATTGTAAAAATACATTTATAAATTAATATTATATGTACAAATAATGAAAACAACATATTTTCTGAATTTAATTTAATCAACTCATTCTGAAAACTATATTAATTTTTCTTTAGGAAAAAGACTAAATACATAATTTTGAATTAAATAAATAAATAAAACCATAATGTTATAATGTATAACTACAGTCACAGGTACAATTTATTTTCCTAGTAATTCATTTTAATTTTCGAAGTTTTATGTGTTCAAATTTTCTAACTTGATTATATTTCAATATTATAAAATAAATAAAAAGCTAAGCTAAATAAACTAAAGGTAAATCAACTCACACTTAAAATTTATGTTTATAATAATTCATTTTGTATTTTTCGAATTGTATGTATTCTATCTATCCAATTTTATAAAATAAATAGGCACAATTAAAAAAAAAGGTCGCTTATCGATAGGAAGTTGATATCGATATAATAACATAGAGAATATTCGTTTGGTATATGTTTGGTACTTAAAGTATTTTCCCTGCTCCTAGAAGAACCAACTGCCGGAACACAAAGGATCTATAATTTGAATACATTTATTAAATGTTCTAGCTGAGAAGTATCCTTTCGAAATGTCCGCCGTGAGTCCCAACTCCTGCGTCGAGACGCCCAAGGCACCGGAATGGCTGTCGAAGCTGGAGAGCCGTCGGGAGCAACTGAAACGCTCCAAACTGGGACACGAAGCCGGAGCTGGTGCTCCTTGTGCCGAATGCAAGGACAAGTGCCCCGGGCTGGATCTGCACTTCTGGCGCAAGGTGTGCCGCAACTGCAAATGCCCCAAGAATCAGCATGTGTGTCCGGACGACGATGACGCCACAGGCTGGGCGCAGTTCGAGATTCTGGGGCAGATCAGGGCCAAGCCAGCATGTAAGTAGTTCTGATACCAAAGGAAAACATGACTATAAGTATTACAAATTGACAGACATTAAAATCAAGGCCCTGGCCAGTCAGCCAGTACAACTGGAGTGGGTGCCACCAAATGCCGCTCCAGATGTGGTCACGGATTACATGGAGAACTTGGGCACGGCCCGCATTCCCGTGGCTGGAAGTGATGCTGCCCTCAAGCGGAAGCTGCAGCTGGAGCTTCAGGTGCCGCCGCACGATCTGGATGCCACCTTGTGCGATGGATTGACGGAAACGGAGGCCCTGCAACTGCAGCAGTATGTCCAAAAGTTACGCGAGCAGTGCGTCGGTCAGGGCGTGGTAGTGCGCCTGGGCGATCGACTCAATCATGCCCAAGTGGAGCACATGGCTCCCGTTTCGAAGGCCTCCCAGTTAGAGGCAGTCAAAACCTGGCAATTTTTGGGTCTCCCACCGGTGGCTGATGACACTCTCAACGAACTGCTGGCCAATCCCAAGGTGGCACAGGCTTTGGCCAGTCCAGCCAGCGCCCAGCCCAAGTTGCTCGTGGCATTTTCAGAGCCCTTAACCGACTCCACAGTGCAATTCGAGGAAAATGGGGCTCTGCGGGCTCAGACACGGGAAAAGCTACTGGGGATCAGCAAGCCAGCCTTGCAGAGCCTTGTGAGTCATGGTGTTATTTACGACAAGGTGCTTGGAATATTACAGGTGAGTAGTTAGTCCAATCTACCTTAAATCTAAAACAATAAATAATAAATCTAGGAAAAGATGCTGAACATCTCGAGGGACCCCAAACTAGGTCCCATTGCTGAGTTCCGCAAAGAGTATGTGAACAATCCGCAGTTTAGGGCAGAGATCAACACCATTTGCCCGCAGCAGCCCATGACGCCAATAAAGGCCTCTCCGGGCACGCCCTTCAACTCCCCGTTGCCCCTAAAGAACCCAGTGCAGATCAAATTTGGATCACAAATGCGCCAGGATACGCCCATGCGGCGGGTCAAGTTCGGCGGCGTGTCCACTATTGTTTACGATTGCGGACTGCCCACCAACACGGATTACGATCGTGATCCGGTCTTTGCCCAGATCCTCCAGGCGGAGCCACTGAAACAGGCGCTGCAGGAGGCGCGTGCTGGACGTGCTCCCTCCTCGGTAGTTATTTCCAATATCCCAGCTCCTGTGGCCAGTCTCGCAGATCTCAAAGGCCTCACTCCCGCCACCAAGGCACAGCTTCAATCCGTGGGACTGGACAAGAACATGCTGCAGTCCGCCGTGTCCAACGCACCTTACTACGATCGTCTTTTCCGCTCGCTCCAAGACAAGGGCATTCCGCATGACCAGTGCCAACTGTTGCAGCCACTAAAACAAGTGCACGACTGGCTGCTGGATGATGATCAGTTGCTGGGAGAGATCGACAAGGTCTTTGCTGATATGGCTAATGGCATGAAGGATATTTCGTATCCGAAATCCAGTCTTGGCGAGCTGCCCACTTCGCAGAGTAGTGATTCTGGCTTCCACTCGAAGCCCTCTACTCCGGGCTATGGCAACGAGGATGTAACCGCAGGACAGGGCAGATTCACCAGCATTCCCGGTATAGAGGACATGAACATGTATCCCGGTTGCGCCGGCATGCCAGAGCAGTTTCAGCAGCTGCGACTCCATGGAGAGAATACTCCAGGCAAAGGTAAGTGCACTTGGCAATATGTTATCTTACTTCTTTTATAAGTGAACGTTTAGTTTTCTAGCCAATATCAACACAATTATTTATTTAACTTTCCTTCTTTTTTGTTGATTTTGGCACCAACATCTTATTTTTTCCCGCTTGAATTGCAACACGATAATATTATCAGAATAAATATTATTTCAAAATAACTTGGATAAACAATCGCTTAAGGAGATAAGAATAAATTGCACTTCTGGTAAAAGTCGGTAGTGATTGTTTAAAAGGTGGTGGGATTTTTCCTTCGCTTAAAATATATAAATATAAAATTCGTTATAAAAAAAAAAATTATTTCAAAATAACTTTGATATACAATCGCTTGAGGAGATAAGAATTAATTGCAATTCAGCTCAGAGAAGATAGGGATTGTTGTTTCGATTGCTTAAAATATTTAAAATCCCTTTAATCCTTGCAGATTCCCTGCGAACCATCATGTGCGCCGACTGCTTGAAGCCCATTGCCCATGGCGAAGTGGCCGTCAAGGCGGATCGTGCTGGAAAGGAGATCGCCTGGCATCCCGGCTGCTTCAAGTGCACCACATGTCGGGAACTGCTGGCCGATCTGGTGTACTTCTTCCACCAGGGTCAGGTCTTCTGCGGTCGCGACTTGGCCATCAAGCTGAAGATCCCGCGTTGCCGCGCCTGCGATGAGCTGATCTTTACCAAGGAGTACACGGCTGCGGAGGAGGCCACCTTCCACATCAAGCACTTCTGTTGCTATCAGTGCGATGAGCCGCTGGCCGGGCAGCAGTATATCGCAGACGAGAAGTCCAATATGCCGCTGTGCCTGCTCTGCTATGACCGCTTGTTTGCCGTTTGCTGTCAACGCTGCAAGATAGCCATTGGACCGGCGGATCAGGGCGTGGCCTGGGGCGATGTCCACTGGCATGCCAATTGCTTTGTCTGTGCCGGAGCACAGTGCTCAAAGCCGCTGATAGGAGGACGCTTTTGCGTCAAGGAGAACATGCCCTTTTGCAGTCCCGCCTGTGTGCGCAGCGTTATTAATTGAGACAGCTAAGGAACCACTCCAGTATTCATTTTTCCATATATACATATGTATGCACAAAAGATCACAGACTCAATCATCGGGTATTTGATGATACACTAATATTCCCATATATGTATGCACAAAGGATCAAAGTATTTGATGATACTACCAATATTTAATAATCAACTAGTGATCAATAGATGCCACAGACTCAAAGTGCCTAGAATAGACTTGCATTTAAAAAAAGCCCAATCTGTAAGATTCCAATCAAATTTTATATTTGCTTTTAATGTAAAAGAATTTTAAATTTACACCATAATTTTTATTGTATAACTTCAAAGAAACTAAGATTTGCACCTATTTAAGTTCCGACAGCATTTGATTGGCATCATAAATGAAAATATGGATAAAATATTTAAAATTCAAACAAAGTGCCTAGAAATAGACTTGAATTTAAAAAAAACCAGTTGCTATTTACGATTTCAATCAAATTAGAATTGTGATGTTTAAGATTGTTAATGTTTTAAATGCACTTGTAATATAATTTTATACATTTACCACGTCATTTTAATAGTAAATTATTTTTTAAATTACGACAGCGACTTTGATTGGCATTATACACATAAATAGGGCTGAAATATTTACAATTCCATAAAAATGACCTTTATTAAAATCACAATTTCTATTTACGATTCCAATTAAATACTTGAATTGATGCCAATAGACAATGTAGAGTATATATAAATATTTTATATATAATATACAAAGAGATATTTACACATTAAATAGTATTATGTATACAGGAAACAAACAATTTTTAAATAAAGATTTTACTCGAAACTAAATTATAAATTTTGAAAACTAATTTGATAGACCAGACCCTTCATAAATAAAACTATAGTTGGTTTTCGATTTTTTACGTATCTGCTGGTAGTTTTTATTGGTAATTGCATTTCTCGATTTATTAATTAATTATAATTCCATTTTTGTTGATTTTTCTTGTTCTTGCTTGTATATATGTATATGCATGTATAAAGGTGCCGATTTTTGTGGTCGGAGCCATATAATGCTGAAGCGAAAACAAGGGGGGAAAATCACATTCACATAACTGCCAAATTACACATGAGAGTGGGTGTATGTTTCGCATATAATGTATATATAAGTTGCAATTTTATTTCAAGGATACTTTCATAGTGGCTCAAGTATTCTACAGATTAGTTGCTCGCACTTGCAGTTTGTTCAGTTCAATTGTATTGCTAAGTATTGGGTGCGTACGTATAAACCATAATATGGCGTACTAAGAATTTGTCTGGTTCATCAGAGTCGTAATCCCCAAATGGAGCTCCCCGGTAGCTGCCATCGGTAGTCAAAGTTTCTCGAGTTCTTTGGGGAGGAGGACTAAATGGGGGATTGGAGGTTTCGGGTTTGGGTTCGGGATTGGAGGAGTGTTGAGTTTCAGCATGATTTCATCGATCTATAGTTCTCTATGCTCTGGTTAGTTTTTTTGATCTTACATTAACACTAAGTTGCCTTTGCTCTTCAATTTGTTTTGTTAGTTATATCTCGTTTTTAATATGTATTAATTACATTGATAATTAGTTTAATCATAATTTCTGTTTTCGTAAACAATTTTACATGATAGGATTCTTCTTCTGAGTGTGTTCATGCGTGTGTGTGTGTGTATGTAAGTTCTCCGTAATTTGCTACAACAAAAACTATGCCTTAAAATAATACTTTAGTTACAATTTATTTTGTTTGCTTCCTCTCTGCTCGCTTGGCATTTCAATTTTGTTCTTCTACTCTGCTGGCACAACTAAAAACAATCAACAAAAGGGGAGTTAAGTTCAAATAAAACTTGTTTGTAACTAATATATTTTTTTGTATAACCTTAATAGAGTGGGGGACAGGGGCGGATAAAAAGGAAAACGACAACTTAAACTAAGGCTTACAAAATACGAGGGTTTCTTTTTTTTTTGGGGGGGGAGGGAGGCCAAAGGTTTGGTTTTTAAGAGAATAGTGGTTAGGGCCGGGATAAAAACACTAATTACAAAGCGATAGATACGGCAACACTTAACGTGTGTTCCTGCCCACAATCTGCTGTTTCTGTTTTTTGATAATTTTTTAAATAACTAAAAAACGTTATAACTTATAACCCAAGTCGGTGCGTCCGACCGTCCGTCAGGTCAGTCCGTTCGTCTGTCTTTCATGCTTTCAGTCCGTCGGTCTCCAGTCCGCTCTCCGTTGCACACATCTTAAAGCTATACACAAAAAGTTAAGTTAAATTGTATATAAAGATTTGCTGTTTCCTTCGCCCTCCGTTCTCTGGCAGAGGCAGACTTCAAGGAGTTCCCACTCCTCGGATCATTGTCCGCCTGCACGGAGTCCTTTCCACATCCCGGTTGCTCTGTACGCCGCTGTCAACAATTCGTGTAGACGCCCTGTGTGTAGTAAAGCTCCGTGATCCGTTCCGGCAACGTGCTATACAGGTTGGTGATGAGGTCGAGCGGCAGGCGGGACCACGCCTCCTTGATGCGGAATATCAAGTCGTCCTTGCGCGAGAACTTCCTCCCGCCGTCGAACACCTCGCGGATGAGCCAGCCCCACACATTCTCCATGATGTTCAGATCGTGGGCAATGGTGGGCCACTTCTGCGTCTTCAGACCCTCCGAATTCAGCAAATCCTGGGCAGTGGGCAGGGCATGTGACATCCAGTTGTGATCCTGCAGCACAAAATCCGAATTACCACCCAGCTTGGTGACAATAGTCGGCCGCTCGCGCATGATGGCCTCGATGCAGGATTCTGGTCGCTGTTTGGCGGATGACACCTCCAGATGCACGGCTCCGCCCACGCAGACCATCAGGTAGATGTACACCGAGTTGCCACGCGGTCGCTGCGACAGCGTGCGCTCGTAGTTGCGCAAGTCGTGGAAATAGTACGAGAAACCATCCGGTCCGTCCAGGTTGAACCTACGCTCATCGTGGAACACCACCCGCCGCCAGTGCTCCTCGCTCCACACTATGTACGTGTTGGCGAAATTGAGGCGCTCCGTTTGATTATATTGCGACAGCACTGGCTCCGTCTTCAGCTTCTTGGCGCAATTCGCCGAACTGCTGGCGCTAGAGGAGGAGCTGCTGGACGAGGAGCTCGACGACGCGGATGAGGACGAAGAAGAGGATGACGAGGCGGATGAGCTCGGAGCTGTGGAGGCGGCCGATGCCCGCAGGAGCGCATTGGCCGCAGCTGCAATATTGCTGTTACTGGGTGCTCCTCCTCCGCCGCCAACGGCCGCCACCCTGGACACAATGGTGGGTGAAACGCTGGATCCGTTCGATTGCTGGGTGGGCGCATGGCTGGAGGCAGTGCCGCCCGTACTGGAGCTGGCCGCCGAGAAGTTGGAGTTCTGATTGAGGGCGTGCACGGGCAGGTGGGGCTGTGGCTGACTCTTCAGAGGCTGCGGTTGCGGTGGCGGCACCTGCTGCTGCTGCGGCTGTTGCTGGTAGTACGGATGGTGGTGGTGGTAGCTGATGTGCTGCTGGTGCTGGTGGATCGTCGGCTGCTTGAGCTGCAGCTGTTTCAGCTGCGTCTGTGACTGGGCCAGCAACTGTTGCTGCTGATGTTGCTGATGGTGTTGCTGCTGCTGCTGTTGTTGTTGCTGCTGCTGTTGTTGATGGTGCTGCTGCTGCTGCTGTGGGATGGGCATCTGCTGGATACCCGGATGCTTCAGGTAATAGTGCAGCGCCATCAAGTTATTGGCACTGCTGGCAGTGCTGGTGGGTACTACGGGCACGGAGACGGGCACTACGCCGGGATTGACCATTCCCCCAACGCCGCTCTGAAGCAGCTGCACTGTTGTGCTGCCAGCGGGCGGACCACCATGGACCGCTGCTGCCGCCGCCGCCGCTGCTCCAATCGCTCCCGCACTGGCTGCCAGCTGGGCAGCCGACTTGGGGTCATAGATGAACTTGTTGAAGTTCTGCAGGTCATCCTGGCTGAGTACTAGCGTTTTCATTTGGATCTGGCTTGGATCGGGTGGTGTTTAGGCTTAAAGTCTGGTTTCCGTTTTAGCTGCTGCCGCCGGGCTCAGCTGCTCATGGGCTTGGGTTTTAAACCCTTCGAGCTGGCGCTGGGTTAAATGCAAGTGCGACTCCTACTTCTTTTTATTTTTTTTGGGGGGCGACGTTCAAACGATCACGATCACGCTCACGCACTTTCGGCTTGCTGGGCTGGTTGGCTCGATTTCCAAATTAGTTGCGCGTTGCGTCCGACTTGACAACCTGTTCCTCTCTTATTTCTTCGTTTCTCCGAGCTGAGCTACTCCCTTTTCTCTCCAACGCTGGCTTATCAAAGGGCTAGCCGATCGACTCGGCTCGGCTCTCCGACTTCTTTTGATTGCAAAACTCTCGGCCGGTCGTAAAAAGATGTCGGTTTACTTTCCCACCGTCGGGCACGTACTGTGTGTATATGAATATGTTGCTGGGTATGGTATGTGGTGTGGTGTATGTGCGAGTGGAGCACTTCCAGTATGTTATCCTCTTTTGTTGAAGTGGTTTTTCTTGTCGCTGGTGGTGCTGTGCTGCAGTTGCTCCGCTGGCGTGCAAATGTTTCCTTGTTTCTTTATTCTGCCTTGGCTCTTAGGTATTCCGCTGTCGTCGACGTCGATTTACCTGGAATAAAATAAAAAGCAGGTATGTGAAAAAGAGTCTTGTTTCACACTTTGCCTTGTGTATGTGTCGCTGCTGTCTGTTGTTGTTGTTGTATATACTTTTTAAGCAATATGTACAATGCAGCCCATGTATTCAATAATTTTTCGGCTGGTGAAATCAACAAACAACACACACAACATTTCGGAACAGATGTTCGTTGAGCTCGGATTTCAGGTCCCTTTTTCTTCTACCTCTACCCTGGCCTGCCTTTCAAGTATTCTCTTACAAACAAAAAACAAAAAGCAGAAAACTGAAAACTGAAATGGGAGCACACACGCAGACACACATGTGCAGTTTTTGGCATTTTGGAAATCTTCAGCATTTGCAATTTTCGGTTTTTGCCAGCAGGTTATTTTTCGGTTTTTGTTTGCTCCTTTTCGGAGGAAAACATACACACACGAAACGAAACGAAACAAGTGGTTGGAGGGTCAAAAGTGCAGCTACAGAAAAGGAGAAGCAGAAAGCGAGATAAAGATGCCAGAAATAGAGGGCAGGTGTTGCAAGTCCTGCAGAGAATTGTTTTGCGATTGGCAAGCCAAAAATAGATTACCCCCTATTTACGTTTGTTTTTTTATATACCCTTGCAGAGGGTACTATCATTTTGCTTTCATTATTGATTTTTACATTTTACATTTTTTTTTTACAATGTATTTTCTTTTTTTTTATAGAGATTTCCATTAAATAAATATACCCTTTACAGAAATGACCAAACTAAGTTACTGGAAGGGCAGTAAAACTTCGTTTTGGAATGTTTTGTTTTTATTTTTGATTTTTTTCAAGCCGAGGCGAGGCGATAAGGCTGCGGCCCCATATTATATTATTAGCTATATGGTACGTGTATGTATTTGCCGTGTTATCATCTGACTCTGGCTATGACGATTCCGATGGCGACACGCGCACGCAGCACATGCCCCATTCATAATCCCCGCACGCCCGATGGTGTCCAGAAAACCGAAATCCCACCATGTAATACACCTATATCTAATCGCGCATATAAATTTCATTCCTATTCCATGGAATAGCTTTCCCCTACTACTCCAAACAAACTGCGACTTTAATACGCATGTTTCCCACTGTTTTCCCTTCGCCAGTAATGAAATTAAAACTAAATTCTGTTCACCACGGGGATGAAAATCGAGTTTTCGATTCGTCTGAGGGAAGAAATCATAGTGTATGTATGTGTGTATCTGTGTGTGCGGGGTGGCTGCGGATGAGGATGTAGATATGAATGTGGTTGTGTCAACCGAAGGACTACTGTGAGTATTTTTGTGTGGCTGCTGCTACTGCAGCAAACTCGGTCGCTTTCCGATCGAAATTGCTATTGCTGCAGCTGTGTGGATGATGTGGATGTGTGCCTGGAAACTGCTGACTGCCGACACAAGCTGGGGCAAAAGTTTCTCCGGGGCCTGGTCAACGGGTCGAAAGTTCAACGGGGAAAGACCTTCGACGCGCTGCAGGCAGGCCGAACGAACAACTTTTGCCAAGATGAGAGGGTTTGGGATTGAGGACCAATAAGAAGCCAATATGGCATGAATCAGCCAAGTAAATGTTGGGAAACTCATCTGGGAGTGGCGATCTTATGCTGTTTACTCAATATTCCAGAGAAGACAGAACAATATATATGCATTTACAACCCCTATCTAAACAAAGATATCAACTTAATCTGAGAATAAAGACATCAATATAACTTGCAGTTGTTAACATAAATTGAGTATAATTAAAAACCAATACAGCTTTTTAATTGATATATCATTATTTTTAAATATCTTTCTTAAGTCTGTATTGCTATTAGTTCTTTAGCCATTTTACGTTTTAGACAATCTCAATCTAATTTTAAATATACATGTTTGAATACTTCACAAAAATTGCAATCATCATTCATTATCGATAATGGAATTAAACCCAGATTTTATTATGGACATAGTTTAAAAACATACAAGCTTTAACACATTTTATTAATAGGAATTTTAAGGGTATATAAAACTTGTTTGCACTATACAAAGTTGTCAATTGAAACTGGAAACCAACCCAATCCAATTGTTTAGTCAACTGTCTTGCCAAGTTTTCTTATTATCAATTGTAGCGACAGAGGCTTTCTACGATTTGCGTAGAACAACTGCTGTCTTTAATTTAATGGCACAAGTTTTTTCACTCATTTTCCGAGCTGGTTGCGCACTCTCGGCATTCTTCTGCGCAATTAGAGGGAAGTTGTGAGTTTAAAATGGGAGATATAATAAGCGTCGGGCACTGATTGATAGTTCTGAGCTTGCTGCTCTGCAAATTCCCCATTCACGTGATAAGATATGGCACTCACACACCGTCGAATGGAAAGACAGAACCTTTGTTTAGTTTTGTGTGAACTTTGGCCTTGCGTTCGGCCAAAAAATACAATACAAAACAACAAACAAACAAAAAAAACTGGTTGTACTTGGAGGGGAAACAATAGACACAAGCTTAAAACAACGATGCTGGTTGCCAGCGTTTCAAAGCCCTTGGAATGTTGGCAGGCCTAAAAGTTTCTGCTTTTTTCCTACAATCTAATCAAATGCCCTTGATAAGTCTCTGAACTCGGTCCGGGATCTTTTAAGTCCGCTGACTAATCAAATTTTAAGCAATTGAGTCATGTTCAGGGAACTGTTAATATACACAGGAAAAAAAAACAAATCGATATGTCCATTTTTGTATGGCCTTAATTAAAATATTTAAAATCAAAATAATCCTTTTTTTATTTGAATCAATGTGGTTTATGTTCGAAATCGACCTTTTCTGGCATCTCAAAATTGAAAGGCTAAACAAAACGTGTTAAACTTTTTTCTGTGCACTGTTTTACGTTTGTAGCGTTGAACAACAAAGTGTTCTGCTGATTCACTCGGGTTATTTTCCAATATCTTAAATATTTTTTAAACGATTTTCACTTGATTTCATTGACACATTTTAAGTCCTGTTTGGCGAGGGTAATCACTGATTTTATGGCCGCGAGTGTGGAGCCCTACGTTGCGGGGGGCTATTGCCATGCCCCTTCCACCCGATAACGTTGCAGTCGCCAGATTCCCGTTACGTTGCATTCAAGGAGCCACACGCACGCGAAAAGAGAGCGAGCAAGCGAAAGAGAGATGCATGCGGGAGAGAGATGCAGGGAAACATGCGGGAGTGGGGGCCATATGGACATGTGTAAAATATCCAAAAATATAAAACGAACCCAGCGCCGACCGACGACCAAAACGTCCGACGTAATAAAATCCCTTAAGCGCTGCAGGCAGCGCTGCCGCATGCTTCTATATTGAGCCAGCCAGCCCTTATGTACATATTCAACTCTCCGTTATGTACAACAACAACCAGTCCCGCATACATACAAACAGACCCCGTCTCTGTGTCCGCATGTTTGTATGTTTGAAAGTATGTACGGTACGGTACGTGCGTGCGTGTCTGTGTGCGCGTCGTGTTTTTGTGATGCCATCGACGATATTGAAAGTACATGTGTACATACATAAGTACGTATGTACGTGTATGTACTGGCTATATACAACGTACGTTGAACGAGAATCGAATCGCGTTGGAAATGAAATTGCGAACAACGGAACGGTGCGATGACGATCCGATACGAAGTGCTTCTTTTTATTCAGTTAATTCTTAGCACATATGTATAGATATATATATACCCATGCATGTGTATATGTGTATCGTTTTCATTTTCACGGAACAAATATGGCTGCAGCACACAGTTTTTTTAAATTATTTTTTCACTTTTTTCACGCTTTTGTGGCTTGTTTTTTCGCTTAAAAGTATTGCTGACTGGCCGATTGGGGTTTCGTGGATTTCGATTCCGTTTGCGTTGCGTTTGTTGGCTGCCTTTCGGCCTGCTTTTGGGTTTCGTTTCGGAGTGCGTGATTACGCCATTTTCTTTGCTCGTTCGCTGCTTTTCGCTGCACGCCCATCTTTCGAATTACCTTTTTTCGATTCGATCGATTGATTTGATCGCTTGACTCTGCACACGCGAACACTGGCTCGAAACGACTGTTGATTGGGATGGCCCAATCAATTTATTGACTATTTCACGGGCGCTGGGGATTTTCTTTAAATGCAAGTACGCAAAATTCACGGGTTTTCACCAACCAACACGATTCGCCTTGCTCTAAGGGTGGACAAACATCGATGTCAGCGCCGATGTCGTCGATTTTTTTTAAATATTGGTCCTATCGATGTGTGGCAGGGACTATCGATATTTGTCCATCCATCTCTCTCTTTCTGTTAGGTTATGATTTGGTTAACAATTTTCTGCTAGTTCAACGTTTGGCTAACATTTCACTGCCAAAATCGATGTCAACACCAATGCCAACCTCGATGTGATCGATGTTTTCAAATCATCGGTTTCATCGATTTTAGGCGGGGCAACATCCATGTTTTCCCATCTCTACTCTGTTTTCTCCCTTTTGCCGTTGCAAAATCGACGAGTTTGAACTTCGAACTTTGAACAAAACTGATCAGGGGAATGGATTCCAGGTAGCTCTTTTTTCCTGCTCTCCGTTTAAGGGCAAAATCGATGTTTTTCAATCTCCAACTGAGAGCAAGAAAGACATGTAATAGCCGGACTAAAAAGCATTTAGCCTAATGCGCATTTATTTACACAGAGCTAAATGCCTCATTTAGCCGGATTAATAAGCATTTATTTACACAGGGATTCCCATAAGGCTAAATGCCGCATTTAACATAAATGCGGTAAATAAATGAGATTAAAAATCATTCGCTCAAAACATTTTTTGAAAAAATACAGCAAATACTGATTTTTAACAATATTTCGTTAGTGCCACCTAGTGGCACGGAGGGCGCTGTTTTTGATTTCTCTTGAATATAAAACCTATTTTGAGTAAAAAAGCGGAAAAACACATTAACAATAAAGTTAGAATTTAACGTTTTTAACCCAGTGTAACCGTGATCTTTTTGCCAAAATATGTAAAGCAGTATCCATTTTTGTATCTGTCTCTGTCTCTAAATTTCAATGAATCCGTCAATGAGTATTTTATTTAAAATATCGATGTCTTTAGCAGTCGGGCGTGTCAGTGTGACCATCGTAAGGAACTGTCGAAATACCACCAGGAAGGGGCGGCTTAACCTCGCACACAAACCATTTAGTCTGGCCACGAACCAACTTAACATCAAGCAGTTATATCGATAGTTTTTGTAATTAAATATAACTTTAATTTTATTATATTACGTTATATTATATTTAATCAACTTAGTTAAACAAGATTGTATACGATTAAATTGTCAGTTTCGATTTAACAACTGAAAGCCATGTCATAAGTTATCGATGGTTAACAGCGCCCCTAATATGTTTATATGATGTCATGTTATTTTTGGCATAAATAATTTTACTTTAATCAAGTACATTTTCTTTATATTATTATTTAACTCTCTTTCGCTCGCAATTTCAATATATATGTATAAATATGCAGTAGATAGTTTCAGCTTTATAATCCCAAAGCGCCAGGCCTTTTAGTCGGTAGGGTTCTGGATGACGATCAGGATAAAGTCCTTGTCGGGAGCCACCATGATCTCGTGCTTTTTGGATCGCACCCGCAGGAATGTCATATCGTTCGAAGGATCCAAGTCCCGGACCACACTTCTGGCCTTGTCCGCCAGCTGACTCATTAGGCCAGCATACTGAACGGTCGTCGTATTGTCCAGCGTGGATTTGACCGGAATACCTAATTGGAAGGGACCAGTTTAATGGTCATTTAGTTGGGTATGAGCAAAAAAATAAAGTGAAAACCACCCACCTTCATTGTTGACCACAATTGTACCCACAACACCTTTGTGGCTCTGGATTCTCTTGAGTGTCTCCTCAACCTCTTGCGACTGCAACCGGTAAATTAAGTGTAACTTTATTAACTCTTTGTTTAATAAACAAGTATACGTACCATTTTTTTTAAAAAATTGAGTTAAAATTTGGGAAAAAACACGGTTTAATGAAAAACTAAAAAACTTTGTTTGTTCAATATTAGAGATGGACTGCTAGTGGTGGCTCTTTTTTCGATTAAAATTAAGCGACCCAAAAGTTCAATGTAAGCTAAACAACAGCTATCGATAGGGTATTAACCATTTAAGAAAACTATTTATCGAGCGTTATTTAACTAACGTTCAAAACTTAGCTTTAAAAAAAATACAAGTTTAAAGTAAATAATTTTTATGAGAAAATAATAGTTGACGTATTGACCTATATAACAACACCTTTTGTACAATTTCACCTTGGCAACCAATAAAACATTAGAATTAGGTCAACAAAGTAGAAAACAGTAGTTATCTATGATTATTTTTCAACGGAATTAAAACAGAACCTGACCAAAGGCCAAATTATCTTTACAATAAACAATGTTTTCGGACACTCCAAAAAGGGTAAAACCGGGTAAATCTCAACTTGTATTATTATTTCTTTACAATTTCGTTAAATAGCCAATTCGAACCCTGCGCTATGTGGAAAAAGCCTTCGAAGAGGTTAAATTAAGGAAAAATGTTCGAGATGTAGTGATTCTTAACGACACGGGGCATCCAGTTAAAAGTACAATGGATCAAGACGAGGCCGTGCAATTCGCAGGACTTTTCCAAGCCATTCGAGGACGACTGGAGCGTGGAATGAGTAAAATAGATCCCACAGATGAATTATTAATGCTGAGAGTCCGCACAAAAACGAATGAAGTTCTTTTGGTTCCCGACTCCAAAATAACAATACTTGTTGTACAGAATGCTCATGATAACTTTGAAAAATAAAGTAGACTGATCAAAATATAATTTTATTTTTTTTTCATAACGCATACATAATTAATATAAACTTTTACAAGTTGGTCATTAGTTTTGATTTTTGTACACGTTATCCCAGATCCACTTTGTATGTCCTATTACGTTTGTGAAAACGTTCGCGCCATCTGATGAATAACTGACAATACCTAGCAAAACGATCCATTTTCTACCATAAAAATTCATGTGCGTCACCAATATGTCTCCAATTTTTTCCTGGTTCTGATTCATTTCGATGGGAGTTTTCACACAAATCTGATATTCATTGAGCTCAAGTCCGGTAAAGTGCTTGCATAATTTTGGATCCGAAGGATAAACGACTAACTCTTTATTTTGCTCGTTGTCAAATATGGCAAAAGGAGGAGTTCTTTGGGCCATTCTTTGGTATACATCTTTCGCAAGCATACAGATGGGTTTCAGCCGTTCTGAAAAACTAATTTTTAGTGGTCGAGGCGACAAAGTAATAAATTAAATATTACCATGACTGGCCACTGATTTCGTTAGCTTAAGCAGGGCTATATCAAACTGTAGCAGCTTGAAAATCGATAAAACTTTATATTCCTCATAGTTCGTTGCGGCCATGACTGACACTTCTCTGCAAAAAAATAATTCAAAAATATTTTTTAAATATTCCTAATAAATACTTTAGAATAGCTCACAAAGAATCGGCATTTTCCGGCAAGTCTGTGGCAACTGTGATGACAAATCCTAAAAGTAAAAGTATTCTGAAGTTATTATCTTACTTATTTACAAATTACACTGGCTTACAACTAAAATCGACAAAATTCCAGAGATGAAAGTTTGGTTTTTCAGTGCAGACAATGGAGTCCGACTCAGAAAAATGGCACTTACAATTTTTTATGAAACCATCTTTGCAAGCACATTTCAATTTCATGGTACGATACAAAAACAAAGGTTTCTGAGTCATGGTGAAGTTCAACTGAACTAAAACAAAAAATTATTATTTCTGGAGGATTAAGCCGTTTTAATTTTGTGAACCTATGTTATAAGGGGTAGGGTATAAACTCACGGTCATGGATCATCACGCCAAGCGCCTTAAAACCTGGTCCGTAAATGGTTGGCCGTATGATCCATTGCATTGTGTCTTGAGCGCAGTAGTCGTTCATCAATTCGGGAAAATCCGAAGGAACATGAGTATTATAATTTCCAGGCTGCTCTGGGCGAACTTTTGTGGAGGGGTTTTGGTGTTCAACAGAAGAGTTATTTATTGTTTGGTTAATCCAATCCCCATAACTAGTCACATCGGTATACACTCCCAATGAACCGCAATCTCCTCTTTCATAGCTTGCGATCCCGAACTGATATATTTTGTTATTTGTCATATGATTTTGGGTTAATGGACCGCCAGAATAGCCAAGATAGGTGTCTCCTTTTGGGACACTAGCGTAGATCTGAGTTTTTATGGTAGTTTCATGAAATTGATTGATGCACTGGTTCGGATCAAGTCGGTTAAGAGTGACAGTTTGAAGAATAACGCTTTCAATTCTGTTTCGTGTTACACCCCAGCCAAAGGCTTGAAACTTCGGGATTTTATCTACTAGAGCCTTAACACCCTTACTCAAATAAATGCAGATTGGTTGAATTCTAGCTGCGGAGAAACGCATTAAAAGAGTTGGCCGAGATGTCCAATAATTAACATACGTTTGTAGATGACACTGGCTGAAAGTTTAAGCAGGCCTATATCATTCAGGTAACTCCATTTGTTAAAACCTGGATGCTTTATGAGATCACTAACAGCGTACTCGGCCGAAGGTTCACTTTTTTTGTGTGCTCCCAACTTAACCACACTGTAATATTAGAAACATTATTTATAGTCAGATTCTACGAGTTTTTACATTATTTAATATAAAATTAAAGTATGTCGACTTGTAAAATTTATTACAGATGTAAAATAATACTTACAGCTCGCCTTCATGATCCAAGCAATGAGCCGCAGTCAAAACATAGCCTGAAAAAAATAACTAAAATTTTGTTATCACGCCGACGTGTACATAATCTTTAAAGCCACGAACGTCTATGTATCAGTGTGCCACCACAAAGAAATTTTGTCTTATTATATATGGCTGCCATATGAACAGCAGCCGCTTCTGATGCATCGATGCCACCGACTCCAACTGGAGATCCGCAGTTGCTCTCCAGCAACGTGGAAAAACCCTGGTGGACCAGGAACAAGGTGAAGAAAGGAATCCACGCTAAATATGACTGCATTTCACTGGGGCACGAATCAACTAACAGTCAATGGGAGAGATCAGGTCTTATCAGTTGTCAATTGGAATGTCTCTGAAAAAGTTTGGGTATTCCTCCTTCTCTTAGATTATACTTATTTTAAAACAATAAAAACCGCTAAGCCCGAGTGTACCGACTCTTAAATAGTTTGCTACACACTGGCGAAAATGTTGCTTGCATGCAGGGGTAATATGCTTAGTACCCGAGTAGTTATTTTTAATAAATACTCAATGAATAAAGACGAGGCGGTGCCATTCGCAGGACTTTTTCCAGGCCATTCGAGGACGACTGGAGCGTGGAATGAGTAAAATAGATCCCACAGATGAATTATTAATGCTGAGAGTCCGCACAAAAACGAATGAAGTTCTTTTGGTTCCCGACTCCAAAATAACAATACTTGTTGTACAGAATGCTCATGATAACTTTGAAAAATAAAGTAGACTGATCAAAATATAATTTTATTTTTTTTTCATAACGCATACTCTTTGTAATCGACTGAATTTTAGCTAAGGAAATGCCTAACTAATTAAACTAATTAATATAAACATTTACAAGTTGGTCATTAGTTTTGATTTTTGTACACGTTATCCCAGATCCACTTTGTATGTCCTATTACGTTTGTGAAAACGTTCGCGCCATCTGATGAATAACTGACAATACCTAGCAAAACGATCCATTTTCTACCATAAAAATTCATGTGCGTCACCAATATGTCTCCAATTTTTTCCTGGTTCTGATTCATTTCGATGGGAGTTTTCACACAAATCTGATATTCATTGAGCTCAAGTCCGGTAAAGTGCTTGCATAATTTTGGATCCGAAGGATAAACGACTAACTCTTTATTTTGCTCGTTGTCAAATATGGCAAAAGGAGGAGTTCTTTGGGCCATTCCTTGGTATTCATCTTTCGCAAGCATACAGATGGGTTTCATCCGTTCTGAAAAACAAATTTTTAGTGGTCGAGGCGACGGAGTAATATATTAAATATTTACCATGTCTGGCCACTGATTGCATCAGCTTAAGCAGGGCTAAATCATACAGTGGGTGCTTAAACACCAATGAAACTTTATATTCCTCATAGTTCGTTGCTTCCATGACTGACACTTCTCTGCAAAAAATAATTTTAAAATATTTTAAAAATATTTCTAATAAACACTTAATACTCTCTTTCCACACAGTCCATCCGTTGAAAACGGATGTTGAATTCCACCTTCCGATAACAGATGATCTGAACAGCTGTGGCTAAACCTTATGGACCTTCCGTTCAACGGATGGTGGAAGATGGACGGATCTCTGTGGAATGGGACTATTAGAATAGCTTACAAAGAATCGGCGTTTTCCGGCATGTCTGTGGCAACTGTGATGACAAATTCTAAAAGTAAAGAATATTACATATATGATATATATATTTGTATATTTGAAGGCTTTTATCGTATTTCTTTACAAATTACACTGGTTTAAAAAATAATTCGACAAAAATCCCCCACAGATGAAAGTCTGACTCCATGACAATTACACTTACAATTTTGTTATGAAACCATCTTTGCTAGCATATTTTAACAGCCTAAAATGAATCGTTTTCCCAAGCTTAAAAAAAAGTATATGCATCTTTAAAATGAAAAATTGTACGACCAAAAAAATTGTTTCTGAGTCATGGAGGCGTTCAACTGAACTGAAAACCCAAACTCTCATCCCTGAAGGAATTAGGCGATATTATTTTGAAAGGCAGTGCTATAAGGGGTAGGGGTATATACTCACGGTCATGGATCAACACGCCAAGCGCCTTAAAATCTGGTCCATAAATGGTTGGCCGTATGATCGATTTCATTGAGTCTTGAGCGCAGTAGTCGTTCATCAATTCGGGAATATTCGAAGTTACAAGAGAATTGAAATTCCGAGGCTGCTCTGGGCGAACTTTTGTGGAGGGGTTTTGGTGTTCAGCAGAAGAGTTATTAATTGTTTGCTCTATCCAATCCACATAGCTAGTCACATCGGTATACACTCCTAATGAATCGCAATCTTCCTTTCCGTAGCTTACGATCCCGAACTGATATGTTATATTGTTTTTATCTTTTTGGGTTAATGGACCGCCAGAATCGCCACGACAGGTGTCTCCATTTGGGACACCAGCGCAGATCTGAGTTGGTCTCGGAGTTTCATGCAATTGATTTCTGCACTGGTTCGGATCAAGTCGGTTAAGAGTGATAGTTTGAAGAATATCGCTTTCAGTTCGGTTTCGTGTTACACCCCAGCCAAAGGCTTGAAACTTGGGGATGACATCTACTTGACTCTTAAAAAGCTTATTTAAATAAATGCAGATTGGTTGAATTCTGGCTGCGGAGAAATGCATTAAAAGAGTTTGTCGAGATGTCCAGTAGTGAACATACGATTGTAGATGACACTGGCTGAAAGTTTAAGCAGGCCTATATCATTCAGGTAACTCCATTTGTCAAAACCTGGGTGCTTTATGAGATCACTAACAGCGTACTCGACCAAAGGTTCACTTTTTTTGTGTGCTCCCAACTTAACCACACTGTAATATTAGAAACATTATTTATAGTCAGATTCTACGAGATTTTACATTATTTAAAATAAAATGAAAGTATGTCGACTTGTAAAATGTATTAAAACAAGAAAGAAATAAACTTTGGCTTGCCAAGGTTTATTGTTTGATTTGTTTGTTCTATGGAAGCTATATGATATAGTCGTCTGATCCCACTCTTTCCGAGTTAGCAGTTAGCTTTAAAACTGAGATACTAGCGTAGAAACGGACGGACGGACAGACTGACATGGCTAGATCGACGCTCCTAGTGATGGATTCCAAGACTATATATGCGTTATAGGGTCAGAAATGTCTCCTTCATTGCGTTGCAAACTTCTGACTGAAATTATAATACCCTCAGCAAGGGTATAAGTATAGATGATTATACTTACAGCTCGCCTTTATGATCCAAACAATGAGCCGCAGTCAAAACATAGTCTGAAAGAAATGAAATATATTATCAAGCCGAAGTGTTCATAATCTATAAAACCACGAACGCCTATGAATCAGTGTGCCACCACAAAGAAATTGTGTTTTATTATATATCGCTGCCATATGGACAGCAGCTTCTTCTGATGCATCGATGCCACCGATAATTCTAACTCCAACTGCAGATCCACAATTGTTCTCCAGCAACCTGGAAAAACCCTGGTGGACAAGGAACAAGGTGAAGAAAGGAATCCACGCAAAATACGACTGCATTTCACTGGGACACGAATCAACTGACACAAAATTGGAGAGATCAATGTCTTATCAGTTGTCAGATTGACTTTCTCTGAAATTCCCAAAAGCTCCTCTTAAGCCTAGTAATCAGATCGACGAACAATTTCGCTCGCGGAAAGACTTTATTCTTTCTAGTGCGATCGAAGTTTTTTAAGAATTTTAAAATAATGTAAAGCTATGAATTAAAATATTTAAAAAATGTTTGAAGTCATATCCTAGGCTCTTTTAACGAAAGTGGTATAAAAATGGATAAGGAACATTTAGTCGTAAACATTTTACTATTGCAGGTGATTTATCTGAGTTTCTTAAGAGTCTTCGTCAATTTATTGATCCCAGAAAAACAAGGGAAAATCTTTTGCTAAAATTGTCATATTACCTTTTGGTTACTTCGTAATGACTGAAAATTTATAAATAATTCATAATACGTTCTTAACCCCATTAAAGTAAGATTTTAAAACCTTGACACTTTATTATACATTACATATTATACATATACATATTATACATTTTTTTTGGTAGCTTTCAATTTATTTTTCTGATATTAAACATGTTAATTATATCGATACTATCGATGGTTTCCTCTACCGAAAGCCAAAACGATCGATGGTGTCAAGCTTTTGCCAAGCTTACTTTAATAATAACTGAAGGCTTCTAATAGTCATAGGCATGAAAAAACTTTTAAAATTAGTATTTTTATATATTTTTATTGTTCGGAATCGTTGATAATTTTAATTAATTTGATTTATGATGCCTGCGATCCACCTAGTATATCTCATAACATTTGTGATAACCTGCATTCCATCAGATGAATAGCTGACAATACCTATTAAAACAAGGAATGGTTTTTTATTAACCGTTATCTTGTTTACCAATACGTTGCCAGAATTCTCGTGAATGTGACTTATTCCAGAGGGATTTTCAACACAAAGTTGATTTGGTTCAAGTACAGATCCTATATAATACGAGCATAATCGGGGACTGAATGGATTAACACTAAACTCTTTTAAATTCACATTGTCAAATATAGCCCATGCTTTATTTTGTTCTACATCCTTCTGGTAAGTTTCGCTCACGATACAGATTGATTTATTTCGGCCTGGAAAAACATAGATCAGGTGTCAAGGCGACAAAATAATCCAAAAAATATGATTACCATTGGAAATCACCGGTTGCATCAGTTCAAGCAAATATATTTCATCGGAATACTCTTTGTTCTTGAAAACGGAGGAAACACCGTATTCTGCATACTTTGTTGTTCCCATCACAGACACTTCTCTGAGAAAACAATGCTATAGGTTTTTAGAAACATTCTTTTTTAAAACTTAAATACAACTTACAATGAGGCGGCATTTTCTGGCATGTCTGTGGCAACTGTAAGGACAAATCCTGAAAAGCAAAATGTATTATTTCTACAATTCAATTATACTACTACTAATAGTATTGGGACAATTTATGGTGCTCAAAAACATACCTTTAAGATACGGAACAACTTTTCGTTTAATTTATTATAATGCCTGTTACCAATAAACAAAATTAGGTTTAAAATTTAATTTTCTAATTTTTCGAAAAATTTTAAAAACTGTTAGTAATTCCTTAAAATTCTTGTTTAAATATACTGTACTATAATAATGTTATAACAATTTTAGAAAATAACCATATCGACTTTATCGATTTTTTTAACAATATTATTTTAAATATATTTAAAAATATTACCCCTATGATTAATGTGAATTTTTATATCGGTCCCAACATTTCAAAATTTACTTCTGAACAATTGTTTGATTGCTATATTCTTAAGCTCACAAAGTACTATTATTTTAACCGCACCTTTATATACTTACGGTCTGCAATCAGCACGCCCTGCGCCTTAAAATCAGGTCCGTAAATGGTTGGGCGTATGATCGATGTCATCGAGTTTCCATCCCCACCGCAGACACTATTAATCCACACCTCCTGAGCCACAGGCCTATTCACCTGCGGATAATTCTGCGGATACTCCCGATGATTATTTATCGGATACCTCTGAGGAATAAACGCGCCATCCTCCTGACGAACAGGTGGGATTGGGGTGGATTTGGCGTGGGGTATGTCTTTATATTTGGTTATTGTTTCCTGAATCCAATCTACATAGCTGGTCACATCCGTATACACCCCCACCGAATCGCATGTTTTTTTTCCATAGCTTATGATTCCGAACTGAACTACAAGTGTCGTGTTATTAATTAACTTGACTTTTTGAGTCAACGGACCGCCAGAATCGCCTTCACAGGTGTCTCCATTCGAGACACCAGCGCAGATCTGAGTCGAATTAAGACTTTCACCCAACGCAGATTTGCAATGTTGTTGATTTAGTTGGTTAAGAGTGATAGTTTGAAGAACATCGCTTTCCAGCCCGTCGCGTTTACGGCCCCAACCAAAGGCTTCAAACGTTTGCACGGACGCTAGTTGCTTTTTAATCTCCTTATTCAAGTAAATGCACATTGGTTGAATTTGACCTGCGGAGAAGTTCATTAAAAAAGTTTGCAGATGGGTTGAATAGATCACTTACGATTGTAATCGACACTATTTGCCAGTTTAAGCAGGCCTATATCATTCTGGCCACTGAATTCATTGTAGTCACGGTGCTGCAAGCCATAACTGACATCGTACTGACTCTTTGGAGTGTATTTGTAATACGCTCCCAAATTCACATATCTTAAAATAATAAACATATATTATACTCATTTTTTGGATCTAGTTAAAGTAAAAGTTTGTTCGAGGTAAACAAATCTTTTCATTTAAATGTTATATAAATTAATTAATGTGAGGTCAAGAGGTTCATCTCGAATGTGCAGTTGAATTATGAGATTTTGTATACGCTCTGACAATTAAGTGTTGTTTAAGAAACGTGTAAAAAAAACATCATTATATTTTGTTTATGCAGTGGAATTATCTTATCTTCAAGTTAAAGTCAAATTATGCTTATTTTTATTAGCAACAAGAAAGAAAGCAAACTTCGGCAAGCCGAAGTTCATATACCCTTGCAGCTATTGCATGAATTAAATACTTTTGAAAACATTTAAATTATGATTTACTTCAGTATATACTGAAAAACAGTGAAGCTATGATGATTTGCAGCTCAATTATTAGATAGTTATTTTATATATTTTTATTAGTTCTATGGGAGCTATATGATATAGACGTCCGATTTTGATAAAATTTAAACCATAATTCTGAAATAATTAAACATTGCCATATGTAGAAGAACTAAACAAAAAATTAAAAAACAGAAAAGTTATAATTTTTTTTCATTTATTTCTCCGATTGTTCCTATGGGAGCTATATGATATAGTCGTCCGACTTTGATGAAATTTAAACCGTAAATCGAAAATATTTAACCATTACTAAATGTCGAAGAACTAAACAAAACATTAAGAAACAGAAAAGTTATAATTTTTTTTTCATTTATTTTTCCGATTGTTCCTATGGGAGCTATATGCTATAGTCGTCCGATTTTGATGAAATTTAAACCGTAAATCGGAAATATTTAACCATTACTAAATGTCGAAGAACTAAACAAAAAATTAAAAAACAGCAAAGTTATAATTTTTTTTCCTTTATTTTTCCGATTGTTCCTATGGGAGCTATATGCTATAGTCGCCCGATCCGGCTCGTTCCGACTTATATACTACCTGCAATAGAAAGACAACTTTTGGGAAAGTTTCATGCAGATAGCTTTAAAACTGAGAGACTAGTTTGCATATAAACGGACGGACAGACGGACAGACGGACAGACGGACAGACGGACATGGCTAGATCGACTCGCCTAGTGATGCTGATCAAGAATATATATACTTTATAGGGTCGGAGATGTCTCCTTCACTGCGTTGCAAACTTCTGACTGAAATTATAATACCCTCTGCAAGGGTATAAAAATGTAAAACTAATACAAAAATCAGTTTAGCGGCATAAAGCTAATTTGAAAACAAAAATAAATATTAATATAACATTACCTAAATACCTTAAATAGCTTATTCTTAAGATTTTCGATGAAGTTGAGGATACTTACAGATTTTGTTTGATATCCAAGCAATGAGCAGCAGTCAAAATAAAGACTAAAAAGCCAAAAGCTATATATATATTATCAAGCTTACGTTTGTGTCATTCAAATACGAACGTTTATGTATCACTGTGCCACCGCATTGAAAATGATTGCTTTGATTAAAAATGGCTGCCATATAAATAGAATTTTCAAAGTTTGCGTTGACGCCACCGCTGATCCTGTTTCCAATTGGAGATCCACAGGGTTGCTCCAGGAACTGCGAAGCACCTTGGTGGCCAAGTAAGAAAGCAAACAAAGGAACCAACGCAAAATGTGACTGCATTGCACTCGAAGCACCCATCAACTAAATCGTACATTCTCTGAACACAGCTCCTTATCAGTGGTCAAGAGATTTATGTTTAATGGTTCGGAAACACCAAAATGAGTGTTCTAGGAACTTATTAATAGGTATTAAATTTTGTTATACTCTATTTTATACAAAAATTGTAAACAAAAACACGAGTAGAAGCGAATATTTTTATACCCTTGCAGCAATCAGCAAAATATAATATTCTATCAAAAGACTTTATATTAATGTTTGTATACAAAGCCGTGTCAATTTTTCAGAAAAATGTTCGACTGTTTGGGAAGACCTATAAACTTAAATAAATAAAATTGGCTTATATTATTGGTATTTTATTTATGTAAATCTCAATTTTTCTTGTTGATTTAGTGGCTAATTTAATTTTTTTATTAACCAAGCTTGTTGTGTTGGCATTTGTTTTGTGTAGCTTCTTCAGACTACTGATATTGATCCCGTTGATCATTGCCTTGCTCTCTTTGTTCTCTTCCTGCTATCGCATGTTTGTTTGTTCGATCATCGACTGGGTCATCTTCAGGTTCAGATTGTGAGAATGACTCACCTGGGTATTTTTTAAGAAGAGTACATTGAGAAGCGTACAACACGAAGAGCAAAAAGATCCCCGGTATTAAGCTCGTCGCAGACTTATTGCAAATTTTAAGTTGGCAAGCTCTTCAGTTAAGCGATGTAACTTAATAATATGATTGTTGCTTAAAAATAGCATTGCAAGGATTAAAAAGTTGTTAACCGAATTTTGGCAAAGCTATTTTAAAAAGTAACGTTTTTTTCTAAAAGTCAAATTTATCCCAGCTCCGAACCGAAGGCTTCAGTTCCCAAATATTTACTCCAACCCTTTCGAACTAAGTCGATAATAAAAGCCTTCTATAGTGGTGGAATAGCATCAATGTTGTGGATACTTCATTGATATTGAAAAGAAATATATTATTTAAAAGTGTAATTTTTTCTAAAGGAATTGTTAACAGCCCATAGCAATAAATCTAACACACTTTTAAGTCTTAAAGTCCATATATTTTTATGTTCGAATTAGTGTTAGATTGAAAAAACATTGATGATGTACTGCCAAACATCGATATTACAGACTGATAGACATCGATAACATCGATATCGAAGTTTGCCCACCTCTACTTTGTCTTGTTTCCCCACCTCTATGTTGTTTTTTTGGTCGCGGCTGTTTGACGTTTTTCCTGTCTTATTATATTATCATATTATATTACTACTTTGCGCATATAATTAAAAACGGAATCGCGAGTGCAACGACGACAACAACCGTGAGCGGATTTTAAATTAGCGGCCGCGATTTTTGATGACGTCGTCTTGTTTTTAGGGCGTAAAAAGCAAAGCAAAAGCAAACAAACGCGAAAAGCGAAACGTGTAAACGGCGTAGAAGAGATAAAAGCGACTCAAATACGCAGCAGATAAAATACTAAAGAGAGAAAAAAATCACGAGAATTCGTATTTAATATTCGGCAACTTTTTGCGAGTGTTCGTCGTGTGCTTGTGTGTGTGTTAAGTGGGCAAAAAAATAAGGAATAGAACGGTAAATGCAGCACCTTAAAAATGTGCAGCCTGACGCTAAACAACATGGTCAACGTAACGCAGCTGGACCTCCACGATCTATTGGAAATTTTCGAAAAAAAATCCTTCGAGGCGGCGGCCTTTGAGGAAGGAACGGCGGTAAGATTGATAGTGCGCGTATGTGTGTATGTGTGGGTTTGACATACATTTAGGCGCACGTGCACGTGCTTGTCGCCGCAAAAACACACCCACACACAGTGGGAAAAAGCTTGCGGTGCTAGTGTGCGTGGCGCCTACGTCGAGGACACGTCATTTATCCTTTTCTCGTCTTGCTCTTATTCTCTTCTCCCTCTCTGCTTATACTGTCCTCCTCCATCTCCCCTCCTTGTCCTCTCTTATTTGCCGCGCCCCGAAAATCCTCAGCCACTCAAAATGGCCGCCATTAAGCTTCCTGCAAGGAAAATCGCATTTTCATGGAAATCAATAGGCGGTAAAACATGTCATTTGCTGGCCTAATGGATTGAATTCGTCCAAGAGCTTGGTTACTCAGGAGATACATTGCTTTTTCGTTTGTTGCTAGTCATTAACCTAAAAATGATCAGTACCCGTTAATTATCTTAGTTGCATCCGGGGTATTTAATCAGGACTTTTTCATTCCCGTTTCTATTCACTTAATCAACTTCAGGGTCAAAGCCAGTAGTCCTATTCACACATTTTTTTGTTTAGTTTATTTTTTTTGTATACCTATTTGTTATTCAATGAAATTAAGCTAAATAAAAGAAATCTGTGTTTGTGACACAGTTTGGATAATCCTGATTTAAGGAATTTATTTACAGTCTTTTTAAAATGTTTGTCAAAACAGTGCAAACAGATTTAAACAAAATATTTTTATAAATGTCTAATAACAAAATTTTTAACAAAGTTCACCCTCTGTTAATCCCCTTTTTCAATTCAAAATTGAATATTCTACATTGAATTATAAGTCGCATACATAATGGTTATAATCTCATCCCTTAATTGAATTAAGAAATAACAAACAGTTAGGCTTTCCAAAACCGGAAAACTTTCTTTGTTGCTTTTGTTCTCAAATTGTTACTGAAATTCAATATCCCACTTTGCTTAGCTAAGCGGTAATTAAAAGCCTAATGGCCTTTTAAGGCCTGCTCCCGATTCACGCATTATTGTGCATTATTTCCCTGGCACGCTCTCATACTCGGCTTTTGTCTTTAGGCTTTAGTACACCCCCTATTTACACCCCTTTGAACCCCTTGAATGTCACGCACGCCTTTTAATAGTCGAGTGTGTAATTCCGTGTTATCGCCCGCTTAACCAGCAATAACACAGAATAACGACTGCGATGGCAACTTGGCAACAGCGAAATCGCTTGTTCCGCTGCTCATTTGCATGCCACTGCGCTGATGATGTTGAATACATTTGAGCCGAAAGCCAGGCACAGGCACCTGGAAACAGAGCGAGGAAAGCCAGGTGAAAACTTGGCACGTAACTCACGTTTTAGCGGCGATCTTACATTTGTTTATTCAACTGCAATGGGCACATGTAATTGATAAACCGCCTTGGCCAAGGAATACTACTTTGTTGCAGTCGTGGTTCTACGTTACGATTGCAAAAAAACACACATTTTTATCAAACAATGGCATAGTCTTATCGCTCAGTTCGAGCCAAACAACGGGCGCCTGCCTTCGATTTGATTTTCCCCAAGTATTTTCCTTATCTACCAGCGTGTTGAAGTCACAAACCAAAAGCTACTGCCCCTTGATACAAAACATTGCATTTTTGATGGGGTGCAAAGGGTGAATTATGTGTGCGATTCTTTCTCTCTCTCTCTCTCTGTATTTATATTTTTCCGTCTCCCTAGGGTTCAAGGTTAAGTTTAGCCACAGCGATTAGATTAGTTGCCCAACCAATGGAACAATATTTAAGCCAATGACGTATACCGGCGATAATGTTTAAAAGTTCATAGAATGTTAGAAAAGTCGACTGAGCGATGTGTTAAAAAAAAACAATAAGAACTTTATATTTCCTGAACATTTAAACGTAAAATCTTAGCTTTAAATTATATGTATAAGTTATATGTGTGTGTTTGAATGAGATTGTAAGACGGAACCTCTCATTTAATTGAAAATTTTAAGTCCCATATTAAGATTATACATATAACTATTTCTTTCCAATATTCAAAACTTTTAATGTTTTGGCAGGGACTTCCAAAGCGCTTTATTTTTGTTGTGCTCATTCTCTTATCGGGCACACAAACAAAAAAAAAACAGTATGAAAAACTCTGGGCTGGCACGTGACACAAAATAATTTGCGTTTTTAGATTACCAAAGGGAATGCGTCTTATCAACGAACATTTAAAACGGCTTCAATCACAACCCAAAAAGTAAAGCCAACAGCAAGTTTGCTTAAAGTAACATCAAGATATGGAAATATTTAATATTCAACATCCATTCAAAAAAAATGACATTCATATTTGTAGGTTGGCCAAAAAAATACATTCATATGTGTAGATTTTCTATAAAAAAAAAACATTTATATATAGTTTCGCAGTAGTCGCCGATCGATGGACAATTATTGTACATTTAGCTGCCCTAGAAACCCTGAAAGCTTCGGCGGAACTCCTCTTCAAAGTCCCCATGGCCAAGATCGACCTTGTGGAAATCGCTACATCCCTCACGCTCCAACTTGGCCTGTGCCCAAAGGATCAGCTTGATGAGGAACATCATCCGTGGCTCCATGGGCGTCTCTTTGATCTTATTATTCGCATCCTCGCAACGCAACATGGCTGCATTTACTTCGTTCGCCACCTTTTGACGATAGGAGTAGTACATCAACTCGCCGTACGGGCTGTATTCCGGGCGGTCGAAGGCCAGGAGCCCCATTGTCCGCTCCACTTCGTGGAAATGCCTCGGTTCGACATTGGCGAAGCCCGCAGCCTTGCTCTGGGCGAACTTCAAAGCCTTTTCCATCTTCTGATCCCGGATCATCTCGATCAGACGCAACTGTTGCATGTGGAAAAACACATAGTTGTCTGTTTCGAAGAGGCGCGGATATATCCGGGTGGCCAGATCCATGGCGTATTTGACCTGGCCAACTCTCACGGCATCCTGTATCCTCAATCGATCCCCGATGGTATCCATGTGGGGACCCGGCTTCACTGACGCCTCCGTCATGAAACGCTTGGCGGCCTCTTGGTAACCCTCTAACAGGAAAGAAAATGTAAAAAAAAACTAGATCTATTAAGAAGAACCCACCTGTCACCAGATAGTTCATCACCAGGCGGTTAAGATCCGCCTGTCGGCGCTGGAAGCTCGTCATTCGGTGGGGCCACGAAGTCGATGGCTTCAACTCGGCCATTCTAAATATATTTAGTTCGATTTAGGTACTGAAATTCCAAAAACTAAATGCTTTATTAGGCAACTATGAATAGATTATGTTCAGACAATAGGCTTATTTATATAAGACTGCAGATATTCCGGCATGCCAAATATTTCTTTAAAAATTTATTTTTAAATGTATGACTAGTATAGGCGTAAACAAATAACATAACTTTTTATTGAATATAAAAAAGTCATTTTTTTTTAAGTATTTCACATATTATAGATCTTGTTAATGTATCCGTTGCTATATTTATAACTATTTTTTCTCTATTGTTGTAAAATATCGAATATTAAGATTCAAATTGTTATTTTTAGTGTCTCACAGTTAGCTTTCATTTCCCCCGTCGCTTTTAAGGTGACAAATTTATAATGTATTTGATAATAGTTTTAATCATGTAATTTTTGTTGATGCCCTCGCTTGTTTGCCATATACGAATGCTCTTCTCTCCGCATTTGGATGTGACGCTCGTCTGTGTAAACAATGTGCTGATCATTATATCACTTTTGTTTTCAGCGCGATACATGTAAGTTTTGCGCATTTGTTGTATTTGGCACGGACTGATTTATTTTCATGACTTGGCCGAAACGGCATTGAAAACTGTTGCAGATGCAAATGCAAGTGTGTATTGGCGTTTTCATTTGTATTTAGTATCCGTGTGGGCGTGTGGGTGGGTGGGCCATCTGTCTGCTCGTGTGGGCGCCAAAAAGTGAACCTCAGCCAAGCGAAAATGCCAAAAATAGAAGGAAGGCTTTTTCTCTTTTCTTATAAATATATCTCTCACTTTCGTAAATGTTTTCGCTGATCAACTTTGTGTGTTGTTTGCCGCTTTCGTTTTTATATTTTTTATTTATTTGCACTGTGTGAAAACCCACCTGTTGTTGTTTTTGTTGCTGTTGTCGTTGTCGTTGTCAATTTGATATTTTATATTTGCAAAAAATTTCACCTACTGAAAGGGTATGGTGGTGAAAAAATGTTGCACATACTGTAGGCCTGCAGGAAACCTACTATTGTTTGTATGAATTCGGTTTGAAATGGTTGTTGCTGGCTGATTTCTGGTGCTTTTGGTGAATGGTTAAAACCCAACCAATTGGACCAAAAACAGCCGCGAAGCGAGCGCTGCCTTTGGCGCCTGCTGGAACACTATTCAGGGCCCAGGACCTGCAGGACCTGGACGGCCAGCTATTCCTCCGCATTCGATGTGTATCCCGTCTGGCCCCTTCCAGTCTGCATCCAAGTCCTTCCAGTCCAGAGATTGCACTCGTTTTTGGGGGTTGCAACGAGTTCCAGGAACGGTGGAGCCCCGCTACGGGATACCCAACGTACTGGGATATTTTTGATGACGTTCTCAACTCTCCTGGTCTCCTGTTTTTACTGGCAGCAGTCTGTGCCGTGGCCACGCCCCCGCCGACAAGCACTTTCCACCGCGGCCCCCGGAAACGGATGCAGCTGTGCTGCAAGCCGTGCGGCGTCATTTGTGTGGGCGCTTTGGAAAACGCGGCACAGGCGCGCAGGAATGCCCGGAAGAGCGGAAGTGCGACGCCTTCCAGCGCAACAATTGCAACTAAACTGCGGCACAGTGGAACAAATTCACTCGAAAAGGTCGTAAACAAAAGGTTTTTAAGACTACATACCTTGACTTTTCGATAAAATGTCCAAAAGTCTAATAGAAAATGTAATGTTTTCTAAGAAGTTTTTATTTTTACAATTTTTATAAAGTTTTTAACATTTTAATTAATATCGAGATCTATGTTTGTGTTATATTCCATAACAGTTACCTAAACCAATAAAAAAAAACTTTATAACTACATTATATAGATGAGAAAGTAAAATATTTATAATTCAAAAGACTTAAAATTGTATAATGACTACATTCAAATTGACAAGGTTGATGCGTTTGCTGTGATTGATTTATAATGTGTTATGGTAGCATGTCAAGCATGCCAAAAACAATTACTTGATGACCTCAGTGCGGAAAGCAGTGAAAATAGAATTGCCATGAAATGCGGGCCAATGCTTATTGTATTTATTTATGTTAATTATTAAAAAAAAAAACCTCTGCATGCAAGTGCAAGATTTAAGATTGTGGGAATTACCATTACATTTAAAACTACTATTTTACTTATTCATTAGTAACTCAATTTTACAAAACAAAGTTACATTTAAAGATTATTAAAAACTAGCTGTAACTAAACGTAACTAAACGTAAACTAAACTTTAAAAAATTAAACAGATTTAAAAAGTTGCTAGGAAATTCACACTTATTTTCCACTATTTGATTATTTAGGTTTGTAAATTACCTAAATGACTCATGAATTAGATTATTACTGGTCTTAACATCTGTCAAGCCAAACAATGAAAATTGTTTTAGCTTTTAAAAATAAGTTCAGAGTATTATTTGTGTTGATCTTGTCTCAAGGTATTAAAATACATTTTATATCTTTCCACTGTGCTAGCTATTTCGGGACGCTGCACCCTTTTATGATGGCCTGTTGCACATTGAACTTTGCGCCCACGCGTTTGCCTGTGCCACCCCGCGCCGCCCCCTTTTCCTTGGGAATGTGCGAGTTAATGTATCCAAGGAGCAGCTGTTGCTGCAAGGTGCGTGGGTCACACCACAGACACTTGTGCCAGGAACGCAGGAGTGGAAATAAAGATTTTGCTATGCAAAAACCAAATAATGGGGCGTCACTAAGGGGCAGGAGAGTTCGAAGATTGCAGGGGAAGTGCATCTGGGGCCGTAGTAATAAGAGCAGCTGTGCTTCCAGCTCTTATCGGGGATGCAGCAGCTTTCCGGGCGCATGTCCGGAAAAGAGAGAGCCAGCGAGTTCGATTTGATTAAGGGCCGCTGCGATAAAGGGGTTCCAATGCTTCCAGCAATATATGTACAAACATATATAGCTATTGCAACAATCGAAGTGCAGTAATGTGAAACACCCTGCTGCGGAACTTCTTGCGCATTCCGGACTAACTGCCCAGCATCCGGGTCCACCATGAAAGCATGATTAGAAGAAGGGCGCAATTCGCTATTTTCTACTACGCTACGCTATACTCCTCCGATTTTCCTCCAATGTGTGGTTTCGGAAGCTCGGATGCTGCGGATTTCGGAGCACCAACTTGGGATTCATGGGCGCCTGCTCGCTGACAGATAAAATCGATAATGTGCGAAATGGCAATGCCGCTTTAGTCAACTATTTGCAGGGAGTTCGGGTTCGGTTTCTGGGATGGGGATCGGCATTTGCTGGTTTGTGCTGTAGCCCATCGCAAAAAAACACAGGGGATATTGTGGAGTTGCTGAAAACGAGGGAAATATTAAGTTGTGTGTTTGAATGCAGAGTTATTAGGAGCGCAGAAGTTTTGTTCTGCTCAAAAATACCATACAAATATACTCTTTTTTTGGGTATTTATTGATTTTAAACTCTTGAATTGTTTTGTATTATAATCACTTGGAGAAAAATTATCCATGACTTTGTTAAAAAGTTAAATATTTTCAAAACTACCAACATAAAATAGAAAATAAAATTATATTAACAAATCATTACTTAACTGAGGGTAAGTTTTATTAATATCATTTTATATTCAGTTGAAAAATAATAATGTATCTTAAAAATTTAAGCTTGTCTCTCAGAAACCGAACAATTTAATAGTAATAGTATATAAGCTTGAACTGCAATAGAAGATTAATATGATTGTTTATATGCTTTTCCTGTTTAACCAGGAAACATTACTATAAAAAAAATCTAAATTTTAAAATCTATAGTAGAACTTTCTATTCCAAAAGCTCATTTACTTTTTCTGCTAGTCCATGCTAATTTAAGTCAAATTGATAATCAATTCAATGAGCTGACCTTTTTTTTACATTACACTGAACTGTGTGATGGGAAATCAGAAAGCGAGGAAAGCGATCGGCGCCTCGAGAAAATCCAATTCTGTTTGTGGGAACACGAGTATGCGTGTGTGGGCGGTGAAAAATCTCTTCCTGACTGGCTGGCGAATAAATTAAGCAAATGATGAATAGATTTCTGAAATATGCCCCCTTCATTCCACCAATGTTCATTGTCCGTAACGCCCACTCTGCTGGATGTCATTTATTGCGCTCAATTATTGCTATTGCGATGTGTTTGATGTATTTCTTATGTGAGGACAGTAAGCAAAAATCGTTTGGCTCTTCAACGCGGCCAAAAAACTTCCGGCTCGAACGTGTTTCAAAGCTCTCGACTTCATATCCATGGCATCTCACCCACAAAGCGGTTTCAATGTCTTTCGAAAGTTGTCCCACACTGTCGAATGTTTTTCACCCATGTGATGTTTATGCAGTCTAAAGAAATAAATGCAAATCAACTGCACCGGAAATTTGCATATTAAAGGATCATTAATATCTCCTATTGATGTGTATGATTATGCATAAATTAAGAGAAATGCTGGTGGGTAACGCAAAGATTAGCTGAAGTAGTGGAGAAGAAAGAAAAAAAAAGAAAAAATATACAAAAAGACCATAAAAACTATCAATGTGTTTTGATTTATGTTTGCGACACCATTTTTAAGGACATTAAAATGACACTTTATTTTGCATTGCAAAAATACTTAACTTTATGTAAAAAACACTGAGAATCATTGCACACTGCGCCTTGTTTTTGTTTTCTTTGTGATGAAAAACAAAGGTTATTTTAGTAATGTGAACGGAAGTATAAATACGTCTTATCGGTAAACAAGAAATGGAACTCAAAAAAACTTTACTCTGCAGAACTGTACTGCCTTCATATCCAGTACCTTGATTTGGAACCTGATCCCATTCCTGATTCAGAGCTTGAAACGTGGGCGCAACTTGTTTTTATATCTGGGGGTCTTTGAACGCCGACTATAAAAACAACAACAAAGCGGCGCTGGAACAACACGCTGCACATTTTAAAGCGCAAGCATAAATCATGTAAACAAGAACAACGAGAATTAAACGCGGAACACACTCAGTCAATTGGGTGTGGTCAGTGGCCTCAGTTTTAAGCCTTAG